ATTATTACCATATTAATATTGAATAAAACAGACAAATCCGTATACAATCCTAGTATTAAAACTACAAGTTTATTATTATTATGACCGGTCATTGACTTGTTTATTTCTGTTCCTCATTAACACTACCAGTTCTGCCAACATGAAAATATTGACCTTTAGAATAAAAGTAATAATATGTTCTAGATATTATTGTATATAGTTTTGGCCCGCGACTTTGTCTATCATCCAAATTATACTCAGAAAAGTGTATAAAGTATGTCAATATATATGAACCAACAGTCAGCGCCATCTATCGCGTGTCGTTACTTCATACAATACATCTGTTATGAAGTGTTCCCGGGAACTACACGGACTGAACGATACATTATATACTATGTGCTATTATAATATATGTAATATGACATATATTATTGTGAAGATACAAAATCTATATATTAACTTTTGTATAAAAGATAAAAACATAGTCATACATCCTGTCAAACTTTCTCATGAATAATAAATTTTTAAATATTTTAACCAAAATATGAAAGACGACGAAAACTTTTCATAATGCTATATATTCACGGTGCGTGTGTCGGGTCCATCGTTGTAGTGAGAGGAGCTTCAACAGTGACTGGGACTTGTGACCCAGGTGTAGGTTTAAGGGACCCCTATCTAACGCGCGTTAAACGCTCACCTCCACCGTCCAAGCTCCTTTCTCTACCAAATTTGATAAGAACCTACTAGGGCTGCTTTCGAAGTACGTTCTAAAAATGAATTAAGGTGAGTTCTGGACAGGCCCCAGTCATTTAGTAGGTATGTAGAGAGATTTCGCTGTTATACCTCTCGATCCCACTTCTACCGCGTACAAATCAACGACGAACCTATTTCGAGCTAGTTCGTTAGTAAGCTCGTAATATTTATTGACCTTGATGGCATGGTCTTTGGGTTGGTATGTTGGTTTCCCAAGGAACCATAAGCTCTATCATCACAACGCGCTTTAAAATACGCGAATATAGAAATATGTCTGGTCTGGAGGCCGACGCACAAATATCCCTTGGAATTTGTATTGTTTCTCATATGTATCTAATTATCCATCATTACTTATGCTAACAATTATTACTTTATTCTACTTAACAAGCCGATGCTTCCATTTAAAGTGTTAATTCACATATTCCGGCATAACTTGCCCATATATATAAAAAATATCCATAGAAACTTCTACCTACAAGTCTTTAAAAACAGCTATAAAGATGAACGGTAACTTTTTACACCAAGCCCGTGCAACTATATCAGCAAAATTCCTCCGGCTTAAATAACAATAAATTTCAGGACAAACCCTAATTGTTCACATCTTATCTTATTATTATTTGTGTCAAAGATAAAATAAAGATTATTTACACATTGTAAAAGATATTGTAATTGTCAGAATAGTTTGGTTACAAACACAATATTGTCAACAGGAAACATTTAATCAATAAAGTCAAGTACTGTCTTCAAATACTTTTTAATTAAGATCATTTAGTCCCACTGTACACAACAAAATGCAAATATAGAGTGAGACAGAAGATGTTAGAAAGAGATGCAACATCTGTTTAACTTTGTTAAAGGAACACAGTGATTCTGCCACAATAAAATTTTTCCTTAATTGATGAGATAAACAATGTATATTAATTAATAATAACAAAACATATGTCGAGAATAATCAATAATAATGATAATTAATTAATAAGTAAGGCATACATTAAGAAATAGTGTTGTCAGTGATACTTTATAAGCAATTATATGTTTCACAAAGCAATTAAAGATTCATTAGTGAAGGTTTATTATAAAAATAATACATTATGTATTAGAAGGTGAATATAATGGTTATTATTCATGTTGCTAAGATAAGAATGAAATATAACTTGTGAATACTATTTAGTATAAATATAGCAAAATCCTTTGACAAAGGCACACACATTATGCCATAAAAATATTCAAAACTATTAATTTAAAACATCCATCAATATTACACTATTATAATGGTTATTTTAATCATTTAAATCATATCCAAAAGGAATTTCATACGAAAATATTCATAAACAAAGAGCAACTCACCTTTGATCACTACAAAATTGAACGTCACAAACTAAATTAAAATAAAACTCAAAGTAACATCACACATAAGTACTTTGGCCAAATATTCCTTATATTCATAACCATTGTTCATCCACTATCAACTGTGAATGGATGTTGAAACACACAAAATATACTTGCTGTCATCATTTCCATTCATTCCTGACATTAGGCTAGTTTACACTAGCTATTTATGATTATATATATCTTTATATATTACTAAAATACTTTTAAATAGTTTAATTTATTATGTTAATTATAATAATTATATTTTATTCATGTTAATAATTAAAATAATGTATTTTTTTATAACAAAACGATTACACTGCTATGATGATTTTTGTTAACGTGTATGTAGTCTAAGCTTTATAATTTGATGCTTACAACCTTTAATATATATAATTATAGGTAAATATACAAATATAATGTATTATAGATATTAAATAGGCAAAAATTAATTTTGTACTATTTTTTCAAACATAACAAATCTACAATTTACAGAAAAGATTAAGTTTTGACAAAAGGATGTAATAAAACAACAAAACTGTTTATAAACACGGCATTCTGTTCACAATCGTAGAATATTTCGTACGCGTTTCTCTTTTGGTGTCAATAAAAATGTTTTTTAGAATAATATTTTTTATTTTTATCACATTACATTTATACTGTAATCTGAATAAAGCTATAAACGCATCTAAACTGAATAATATACTATATTACTATAATATTCCTCATCTGGAATTAAATGATAATTCTATGGAAATTGAAAATGCTTTAAAAGATCTGATGATTATGAACGGAGTGCAATATATTTATAAACGAGATTTTTATTGGAGAACATGGAGAAGAATAAAAAACGGAACAAAAGAGGATTTAATACATTACAAGAGCCAAAGTATAAGTGAAATAAATTGTACGATATGCCACTCAGGATTTTGGGTATAATATTGTAGATCTACGTTCCTTAAATATTTAATAATATTACAAACATTTTTTTTATTTTAGGAAATTGAAGACAAAAACGAATTATGCCGATTTGAAATATCGGCAATGAATAATAGCGAAGAATTAACTGTTTATAGACCAGAACATTCACAAATACAATATTCGATTAATATATTAAATTTAATCAGAAAATGTGGGAATCCAATAAAAACAAAAATGCGCGTAAAATATAAATATTATTCAAAATGGCCAGTTTTTTGTCAAGGGCGGGAATTTTGCAAAATAGATACCGTATACTCTGTATGAAAAGTATTTATTGCTCAAATATAAATGCAATATTTTTAATTACAGTATATTATTGTAAAATTATCATCTTCTTTTGCAGATACACCCGGACTTCGTTTTATTTCAAATAATAAATGCAACTAATATCATCATTTACTCGAAAATAATGATGGCGGGAAATCGAAACTTCGTTTGCTTGGACAACTGTCAAAAACCGAAATCTATAAGAAATGAAAAAGTAGAAATAAAACAATATAAAACAGTAACAAGCATATTTAATACATCGGATATCAAAAAGATTCAAAAAAGTGAATTTAAAAAGACTAAATGTAATAGAAATATAAAAAGCCATATGCCTACGCTTATAAACAAATTATCGAAACTCTCGCCGTGCAAGAAGCTCGAATATATGGAGATTATGAAAGAAAATGGAGAATTTCATCCGTTTTTGTGAATACACCTTGTATATTAATTAAATACATGTTTTAATATTGTCGTCTATGTTATTTTGTAATAATAATCATTTTAAACCTAATTTAAGTATAATATAACAAGGAATCCATTATATAAGTAACAATAGGTTACATAAAGTTAAAAATAAAAGTTAAATTTAAAAGTAAGTAAAATATGGTTAAATTTAACGCTGATATAAAACTAGGATAAGTCTTAATAGTAGGCTTTCCATCAATGACACAAATTGACTCGACCAGACCAAATTTAAGTTTTAATGTAATATTAAATAATTCATGATTATTTATCACGAAAATGGTAAATAAAAATTTATTAGGAATACTGATCTTTATATAAAATACGTAAATGTATAGCTTTACTCAAAATTAGATACCTATTATGTCGCTTTACCTAAAGATACCTAATTCAATATATAAAAAACATATTTCTCATATATAAAAACTATGTTTAACACTTACAAATCTTAAAATAACTTAATATTTAATATAATATACACAAAGTTCATAACAGTTATTTTAAGTAATTTTTTGTAAAGTCGCTAACCAAGGCTTCAATTGTTCAGTCTTATTAATATTTAAGGCACAAATTGATTTTTAAAACATACAAAATATATGTTAATTTTGTTAAATATACTAATTTTATGATAAACAAGTCTTAAAAACTTAATAATTATTTCATTTACATATTTTTGCTAAAGGCTTATTTCAAAATCATTACTCGTATTTCTTAATAAGCCAACAATTTATATATTTTATTTATACAAGATAATTTCAGTGAATGTAACACAAGTTTACTTTTGCAAACTAAATACATACAGTTACAAGTACTATAGAAATCTTCAAACATAAAGTGTATGAAAATACTTGAAAATGTGAGTAGTAAGACCATTAAAACTTAATATGACTGGTAAGTTTACTTATAAGATACAGGTCCCTTAAACCTACACCTGGGTCACAAGTCCTAGTCGCTGTTGAAACCTCTCACTACAATGGACCCGACAAATGCACCGTAAATACATTGAATGATGAGAGGCTTCGTCTTTCATAATTTTAATATATTATTTACTTGAAGGCACATGTGAATTCTTAAATTAAAACCTCTCATAATCTTCAATAGCTTAAGATCATCTAACTTTGAGTTTTTTTCCACTTACATGATTTAATGTGTAAAATTTATAATAATAGGAATTTTCTGGCGAACAATTAAGCATTTTTAAGTATTGTTTGATTACATTTATGGTCAATATATTGGTAGTGTCGTTTGTAAGATCGACCGCAGTCCAAACATCTGTACTTCCTAATATTTAGATGACGCTCCATTATGTGGTTTTTCAGGCTTTTCTTGAGCATTTCTTTCTTACAATAGTCACATATAGCTTTGGAGTATTGATCTACGAATTGTTTCTTGTATGGAGTGCGATCGGCAGATTTGGTTTCCGGTGGGGTTAATTCTTTGATTTGAGCGCACTTTTTGATAGTTATAGCATTGCTATTAATTTTCGTTATAAGAACGCATGTGTTCTTTATATTGACACGTTCAATCCAGCTATCGTTCACTGATTTAGTGACGTGCATTGGCTCTTCACGTGTTGTGTTGTTGAAATGCATTTTACGTACATGATTATCCAGGCTCCGTTTCTCGCAGTAATTTATCTTACAGGCGTCGCATGAGAATCTTATTCTATCAGTATTCACTGAATCGTCGTGTATTTTCTTCAAATGTACGATAAGATTGAATTTGTTAACAAAACTCCGATCGCAGTAGTCGCATACGTAATTTTTGTCGTTTCTCTTCAAACCAACGTGACTTTTCTCGTGTAAAACAAAAGTATCATAGCGGTAGTAAGCTTTCGAACAATATTTACATTTAAATCTCGCTTCAACAGCGTTATGTTGGAATAAATGAGATTTAAATTTGTATGAGCTACCTATTATTATTTTGTTGCAATGTTTGCAATAATTTTGATTCTTAACAGCAGCACTCTTCTTCTTCATCCTCAAAATACGGTTTGTATAAAATAATGTAAGTTTAAAACAAAAATTAATTTAAATAACAAAAAGAAAAATGCAAATAAATAGTCATGCAAATAAACCAAAATAAAAATACTAGTAGACTAGTCGTCAATGTCAAAAATAAAAACATTTAAAACTTAATGGATGCGTTCATAATTATTTAAAAAAATCAGTAAATTGTTTCCAATAAGTAAAAACCAATTGTGTAGATTTTTTTTGTATACAGAGAATTATAAGTTAACCTCGAGTAATTATGATACAACAATTACATTATGTTTCGTGTCAACGAAAACATATGAGAGCAAATGACAAAGTAAGTCAAGACACCAATAGACTCATTTTAACAAGTAAAACTTACTTAAAATAATAAGTACCATAAAGCTTGTATTTCTGTACGGGTAAATAAAGTACATACTTTAGTTGTTTATAAAAAAGGTTAATTTAAATTTAATCAAATAATACACATGCATATATAAGACGTATATTTTCACTGAATGTGATAAAATCAACGAACAAAGATATGAAATTAATAAATTAACAGAATATAAAATTTAATAATAAAATTTTCATTAGGTATATAGATTATAGACAAATTATCGCCATAATAGAAGACATATTTTATAATATTTTTTCACTGTCAATATATTTCGTTTAACAATAGAATGTTCTAGAAAAGTCCAAAAACTGTGACTAATTTAAATTGATTCAGCACCACTTAAACGTTAACTCAAATAATATATATGTAAATACAAGTGATAACCTGGAAAACGCCATTACAATTGAAACATTAACATGAGTTCGCGTCCTTAACCTAAATACAGATAGTATTTAGTCACACAATGTATCATTCAATGTATTCACGGTGCGTGTGTCGGGTCCATCGTTGTAGTGAGAGGAGCTTCAATAGTGACTGTGACTTGTGACCCAGGTGTAGGTTTAAGGGACCCTATCTAACGTTAAACGATCACCTCCACCGTCCAAGCTCCTCTCTCTACCAAATTTGAAAAGAACTTACTAGGTGGCTTCGAAGTACGTTCCAATAATTAATTAATGTTAGTTCTGGACAGGCCCAAGTCTTTTAGTAGGTTGTAGAGAGATTTAGCTGTTATACCTCTCTCACTTCTACCGCTTACAAATTTACGACGAACCTATTTGTAGTGAGCTCGTAATATTTGTTGACCTTGATGGCACGGTCTTTTGGGATGTATGGTAATATATAAGATTTCTTCGTGGACATATCTTTAGGAAACTATGTTTCTAATACTACGCGTAATTTATTAGTTCCTAATGATAATGAAATGAGATTAAGTCAGTGGTGGCCTAGTGGTTAAAAGGCCCGCCTCTCATGCACGAAGGCGCGGGTTCGATCCTGGCCCTGGCAAGTACCAATGTAATTTTTCCGAGTCATATGTACTTTCTAAGAGCATTTAGACATCACTGATTAATTCATTCCCAAAGAGGGTTGATGTCAGGCAGGCGGCCGGTCGTAAAAACAATTAGCCAAAACTATTCACAACATGTAAGACTGACCCTGGCTAAAGCTGGGAAAGTGCCAGGTAGAAGATGATGAAGACGAGATTAAAAGTCAGGATACTAATGAATACTTTCAAACTTTCAGTATTTACTTCACCACGCGTGGTAAGAATACTTAAATAATATAAAATAATATTACAACAAACATTTGTATTGTTAAAATTCCTAATTATCTAATTCGTCACACTTAAAGTGAGTAATTAATTTAAACATTACTATAATTAACTTATTTGAATAATAAAAAGATTTTTGACGCGTTTAAATGACGTTTAAAATCTTTTGTCAGATAAGTATAAAAGGAAACGAGATTAAAATTTAGTAACATTTAAGAAAAATATCTTAAAATGAAGTTCCTATACATTCTACTGATTATATCGGTAAGTTTCTTACAAGTATATAAATTTTTGTAATTATTTATGTTATAATAAAATTTAATTTAGAATATGTACAATTCTGGCAGACTATAGTCCGACTTAAGATTGGCATCTTTGGTTGAAAAAAAAAACTTAACTGCTTAAAAACTTTTTTTACGACAATTTCGATTAATAATGAAATGACTTTTTTTCATATTAAAAGAAACGATAAATGAACAGATTTTCCTTAATATATCTTCTTCTTCCTGGCAATTTCCCAGCTTTAGTCAGGGTCTGCCTTACATGTTGTAATAATTTTGGCTTATTGTTTTCACGACCGGCCGCCTGCCTGACATCAACCCTCTTTGGGAATGCATTAATCAGTGTTGTCTAAATAGTCTTATAAGTTATAACGTACATATGACTCGGAAAAATCACATTGGTATTTGCCAGGATCGAACCCGCGCCGTCATGCATGAGGGGCGGGCCTTTTAACCACTAGGACACCACTGTCTTTTTAATCTTTATATATATAATTCTTCTGTGAGTGTGTATGTCACTGAACTTCTCTCAAACGACTGGACTGAATTGATGAAATTTTTTGTGTGTTCAAGGGGATCTGGGAATAGTTTAGATTCACAATTTTGTCTGCTGGACTGGACTGGTTTTTTTAATAAATTTTTATTTTATTAGTAGTTGTTGATACAAACGTTTATTTTTTTTGACATTAGATTTGACAACTAACTAATATGTTATATATTCTGTCACACTTCAAAACACGGAGATTTATGGCTTACAGGTAAACTCCAAAAATATAAATAAAAAAACGAAACAGATATTTCTTGATTATAAGGCGATACGAAGTTCGCCGCGTCTTCTAGTATATATATAATATTTATTAATTTATTTCATTGTTATAATATTCTACAGGCTCTACTGGCGGTGTCCTTCGCCAAACCAGCTTGGATGGACGAAATCAATGTAAACTGTGAGTATAAAAGGATTATACATATGTATTCTCTTCATTACTACTTACTTCCAAAATTAATAGTATACAGGGTGACTGGTGAATTACTATCAATATTTAAGGAGAATACTCGGTACATGATTCTCATTCGAATTATGTAAAAAAAATAGCCACTTAATTTTTGACCAAATTTCCGTATAAATAAATAATGTGTGGACACGTTCCAAGTGTTCAAAATTTAAAATCACTCCATAATGTTAGTATTAATAGAAATATTAAAAACTTAAAATATAATAAGGCTTTCTTCAAGTTTCCATCGTCACTACATACGTAGCGTCAACAGTATTTCATTCGTAACTTCTGACATAGTATTAAGTATTTCGTCGTTGATTTGTACGCGGTAGAGGTGGGAGCGAAAGGTATAACAGCTAAATCTCTCTATAACCTACTAAAAGACTTGGGCCTGTCCAGAACTAACATTAATTCATTCTTGGAACGTACGTCGAAGGCAGCCCTAGTAGGTTCTTTTCAAATTTGGTTAGGTAGGGAGAGGAGCTTGGACAGTGGAGGTGAGCGTATAACGCGCGTTAGATAGGGTCTCTTAAACCTACACCTGGGTCACAAGTCACAGTCACTGTTGAAGCTCCTCTCACTACAACGATGGACCCAACACACGCACCGTGAATACATGGAATGATGAGAGGATCAGTCTCATAACCCAAGATTCAGTATAAATTAAACCATAGCATTAAAAAACTTCGTTTATAAATATTCGTAAACATTACAAGGAAATATTTCAATCAAATCAAAATGTAAAAAATGCTTTCGAAATATGTAGTTCTAAAGTCGATTTCTTTACAATATTATCTGGTTAAATGACAACTAGCAACTTACAACATTAAAATTAGATACGTATAACCTCAAAATCGTAACAAATCACGAAAAAATTCTTATATTAATTAACATTTAATATTCAAAATTTACTTAATTTGTTATTTATTTTAGTGATTATTTCGTCTACGGTAGTTTCATAATTAGTATTGTATATCTGACCGGGCGAACTCTATTCCTCCTTAAAGACAGTTGATAAGATTTCGTCTTTGATCAACTTATTTTATTTCTTTTCCAATCGCATGTAAAGTATCCTATGTCCTTTCTAATCTAATCTATCTCTCCACCAATCTTCATCCAAACCAGTATTAAGTCGTAGAGTTATAAATAGTGTAACTAACACGACTTTCTTTTATACAAAGATTGTATTTTAATAGTTTAACATTATTTTATTAGTTACTACAACAAATCTTTTCTTTTCAGCCAAAGACGATTTTATTAATGGTACGAAGGATTTTATGAAAATGTCTGAGGTATGTAATATTTTAAATTGGTTTTGTATGGACATAATAAAAAGTCATGTACCTATGGATACAATTAAAATATTAAATTAAACGTATTGTATCTTTTACAGGACTTCACAGGAATGAAGACATTAAATGAATAAAATAATTAAATGAATACAAATAAATATATTTGAATTTGAATACGTTTTTTATTTACCGTAAGAGGTTATAAACTTCCATAGGTTTCATAACCTAACTGCAATACATGCTTTTATCTATATTTATCCATGAAATATATACATATATAAAATATTTAAAATGCTTTATAACTTAAAAATAAGAAAATTCAATTAATAAATTTATATAATTATGTAAAATTACATTATAATTAAAGATTATAAAATGACACACACACAAAGGAGGTTTTATGTTTTTTATTTTTATAGTTTTAAAGACAAAGATGTTAAAAAGTTTGTGATGCAGTAAAATAGATTTATTATTTACATATTATCATAGAAATTTCAGTAATTTTATTTGGTATATACTATATTGTATATTAAATATAATTGTATAACAAAAGACATATTCTTATGTCAATTATTGTGACAGTCATTTTTACGTCAAAAGAATACCTACGATATTTAAATGGATCTTATTTTTTAAAACTAATTCACTTTTTATATATATTTATATCTTTAAATCTAAAAGTAATGTTAGTTTCAAAACTACTTATAATGTAAATATATGAGATTATATTACAAAAATATTGAGAGACGACTACAAATGGTTATTTTAGAATATTCACACCTCTATAGGCTTCCATATGAAAGACGATAAAAGCTTTATTCAAAAGAACTTTCAATAATATTATATTATATTCTTTGATTCTTTTAATAATAAGAATTACTCTTTATTTTGCCCTTCATATTATTTTATGTTTTCAAGATCAGCGCCATCTATATATTGAACTTGGAAACGAATTCTATAATTTAGTTGTTGGCAACACAATATATATTTGTAAAATATATTTATTTATTATAATACATTAAATTTATAAAATTAACTAACTTTTTTATTTCCATACTTACAAGCATTGTATTTCATTTATTAATCCTCTTTTTCGATATGTAGTAATTATCGCAGGAAATAATTGGTAGGATATTTACATTATTTTTTGTGTCGTTTTTAAAAATTAACTTAAATAACATATATTTCCTTAAATTATATATCAATAATGTATAAAATTGTTTTCATATATACAAACAATAAGGAAATATTAAGAAATTTGTATAAATTTGTAAAGCGACAAGGTTCCATCTCAGATCCCTTGACATCATTAGCGTAGTGCTGCCACTATAGAAATTCGGGCCTAGATTTCCCTTTCTTATGTGCGTTTGTGAATTCTCTTGTTGATTTCGAAGAATATTTCGTAATACGCTTGTTATTTAAAACTATATCTACTATCTCGAAGTTAATTTAACTTATTTAAGGATAAATTACAGGTAAGATGCATCCAAATGTAATAAAAAGATCAATATTTTTTGAAATAATGTAAGGTTTTAAGATATCTCGTTTTGTCTTTCGTGATTTATGACTAAAACATTTGTGTAAGTGACTTTAGCTTTAAAAACATCCTGTTTATTTATATTTTAAATAGTATTGTATATTGTATAATTGTTAGCTTATACTGTTAGATTGGTTTTAATTATTTTACTATGCTTGTGATGGTAGATCTTGTTCACAAGCATAATTTTAATTTAAAAGTGCGTGATGGTTTAAAATATCGACGCTACGATGGACTTTTATGTCATAATGTGATCAGATCTTGAGTTAATTATAGTCACGAACAATTTTACACGTATTATATTTGTTGTAAAGTAATTTTACGTTTCATGATTCGTCTTTAGTACAGTCCATATTTATAGCGGGTGAGTTATTCATAAATATAGATTATTATAATAAACGTGTATCAAACATTAGATTTAGCAGATAAACTGCAAAATAATCATATTTACTAACAATTTTAACTTAACTTTTATGATATTTCTAATCAAAATCTTTCGTCAATAGAATGTCGTCGAAAAATCAACAAGCAAAGAGGACACCACGAGCTATGCCAGTGGAAACAATAATAACACGGTACAAATCAGCTCAACAGAAGAGAACACAGGAACCGGAACAGAAAAAGGTGATTAAGAACATTAAAAAAAATAAAGCCACCAAAAAGGCTGCATTACCACAGAAAGAAAAGCAAAATAGATTACAAGAAATGAAACAGCTCATAGAGAGTACAGAATTTTATCCTAATAAACGCAAACGGCATATAAAACCGAAGAAAATAGTGCTCATACCAAAGAATTGTCTTAAAATGGTTGGCGGAACTAAAAGTAGCAATAAACGGAAACTACATATACCGAGGAAGGGTAAGTTAAACTCAATTAAACCTTATTTATTATTTATTTATTTATTTATTTAAAAACTTTATTGTCTAACTACACACGTAGATACAAAATGTGGACTTAATGCCTGAAGGCATTCTCTGCCAGTCAACCCTTAGGAAAAGCAGAAAAACATGAAGACGGTAGCAGTATGTAAAAGTAAAAAATATACATATAAATTTCTATTGATATATAAATAATATATACACATATATATAGATACATATACATACACTTACACATACATACACATACATATACATACACATACATACACACACATACCAATAGATATACTTTCTATACCAATATTATTATATATAATATGTTTTTTTTAATAATTATAGATACATATATTATATATTTGAGATTCAATGATAATGTTTTTGTCAAACCGGAATAGTTATTAAGCCAACACATTAATATTATTAGGAGATATTTTAATAGTTATTATGCAAACACATTAATTATACAAGTTGATATTTTATTATATGCATTTTGTATATAATGACAATTATATATATATATATTTAATTATTTATGTTCCAGAACCAAATAACACATTGTCCGAGACCTTAATGAATAGTATGGAAACAAACTCGAATATAAGTTTCCCGGAGCTGATACAAGTTATCGAGGAGAGTGGGAGTTTGAATGATGAAGATTTCCTGGAGATACTCACCTGCCCGAGTCCGGTGTGGTGGGAAGATCCACCTCATGGATATATGGAAGGTAATATTAAGAAATCCATGTTTCGCTTGTATGAGTGTAGTATATATTGATTTTTCGACCTATAGTATAACTTAAATATGATCTTCGTGGCAATTTCCCAGCTTTAGCCATAGTCTGCCTTACATGTTGTGAATAGTTTTGGCTAATTGTTTTTACGACCAGCCACCTGCCAGATCAATCCTCTTTGGGAATATATAACTTAAATATGATATATATTAATGATTAGAATGTTATTTAACTGTAAATTTGTATGTAATGGTAATAAAATCTATGTGAAGTGACAAATAAGGAATATAGTTTCAGGAATGTTAAATCAGTAAGTTATATGAAGTGAATTGAGCTTGTTCAATAATTTCAAAGTTATTGAATATTGAAAATTTAAAAAGGAAACAAGTGTATATGTAAATTTTTATAATTTGAGATAGTTGCCATAAAACTAATGTTTTGATGAAATCATATGCACTACAAATAAAGATATTGTTATTTTGATATATCACTCATATTAGTACCAAAATTTCAGTAAAATCATTTAAAAATTCATTTTCTTTATGAAAAAGTTTTAATATTAAAGGTTTATTTTAGATAGGAGATTTTGTTTTTGCTTAGATTTTTATCATTTTGGATGCTAGATACAAAATAACTATATATATTGATATTTTATGATGTATGATGATTAGTAGAAGAAATACTTTAAGAAAAATATTTTTGACATATTAAGAAGTTAGAGTAATACTCATCAGCCTATTTGAGTTCACTGCTGAGCAAAGGCCTCTTCTCACATGGAGAAGGTTAGAGCATTCATAAAATATACTAGGCCACTTTAAATATAAAGATTGAGTTGTCATATGTATAATTAAATTAATATTGGTTACTTTAATAACGAACTAATAACAATTAATTTAAAAAATACAGTTTTTTTCTTATAAAAATTATTTTTGTTAAAAACATATGATTTAAGATTCAAAAAGCTTAAAATAATTATGAAGTACATATTACAAAATTTACCATTTATACTTAAAAATCACTTGTACAAAATGTTTTTCTATCTCATATCAAACAATTTAGGTATCAAGTGAAATTATACGAAAATAGTTGTAATTGTAATAATAAAAATGTATATTTTTTTATGAGTGACGTATCTAAGATGGCCCTACTAAGAGTATGTATTGTTTGACTAAATACAAACGGTATTCAGAATTAATTCATGCACCTAAGTAATAAGTCGATACTATTATTTGAGAGTTTTTATTGAAATACTTCAGACTGTCAGTTCGACATGGAAACTAATGGTAAAAGGTCGATTCACATGTTGGGATAGAATGGAGGAAAATATTTTTCATCATATATACATTGATTTATTTGTCTAAGAAATTAAAATGGCTTGTCTGTTTTCATCAATCCGTTTGGAAACTTCAATATTACGTGTCTTCAAAAACATGCTTATCTTTGAATGAAATTTTATATATCGGCGCAATTACTATTATTTGAATAATTAATTTCATATTTGTTAATGTTCATAATATTTCATACAAGTTTTTCTGAACTTTGCAATAATCTTAATTAATACTATTACTTAAATTCTTTGTATATTTTTATTTTTAGGACATATCGTCCAATTTTTCAACTAGAATATAGAATTGATAAATCGATTTTTTTTCATTCAATGGCTTTATAATCGATAATCTGTAATGTCAATATGTACTCAATCGATTTTTATACTCTTCAACACTGTTCTGTTAGAAAAAGAACTGTTTACTAGTAATGAGAAAAAGGAATTTTTGAAAATTATTATTTCTTAATTATTATTCATAATGAATTTATTTTCGTAAAAAACTACGTACTCCCTACGTTTCGGCTACTTTTCAACCATCACACGGAGACGAGATTTCTTAGTAATAATGTTTTTCTTTTATTTACAGAAGCTCTATATTCAAGATCGCCCGAGGAAGATAAAAATTCATGTCAGAATGAAGAAAAAACAGAAAATGTTAGTTGTAATTTAGAAAAAGATCTGGTAATAAACTTTATAGATCGCAGCAAGAACTTCATTAAGAAGAGAGGAAAATTGGAAACTTTACTAAAGAACATACGTGAAAAGATTAATAAACCTGAAATTGATAATCAGAAGAATTCTGAAAGAAGTAACGATGATTCCATCGAATTGAGAGATGACGAAGTTCTGAAACATCTTGAGAACATTAAAATACCAATTGCCGAAGAAAAAGTGAAAAGTTCAGACGAAGAATCCGATAAAAACATGCCGATAGATGAAGAGTATTTAGACATGAGTTACTTCGAAGAAAACTATGAAAATGACATAAAAGATACAACAAAACCAGAAACAGAAGAAAGATATTTCAAACAAATACAACAAGATAAAGATATACAAGAAGAATATGTAGCTGTGTATAAAATTATTGAATCCGATGATGAAACAAATGAAATTTTAAAAGAAAAACAGATAAGTTCATATTATAAACAACAGAAATTTAAAAGTAATTTTAATAAATGCAGTTGTTATAAGAATAAGTCGATCAAAGTGTCCGAGTCAGTGAAATATTGTATGGTTTGTTCATCTATAAATGATACCGATGAATGTAAGTACTGTATGGGTAAATATATTAAGTGTGTGTGTGACAGGTACACTTGTGATGTCTGTAGCATGAGATTGGAGAGCAAAAATGAATTGGTAGATCATTTGAAGCATTGTGTTAAATAGTACTGCCTCAATATCTTTATAACTTAAATGTACTTCAATGATTATTGTACATAATTGCATGGAATTTCGTTTAAATTGTCCATATTATAGGACTGTGTATCTATATATTTGTTCTCGGTAATAAAATTTTTCATTTAAATAGTTAATGACTAAGGTTTTGATTTGTAATACTTATACATTAATTTGGTATTAAAATACATGTTTTTTCACTTAAAAGATATTTCCTTAAATACCCTTACCTCCAGTTTAAACACATTTAAAATTATATTACCTGAATTTAGGAATTGAGGGTTCTTATTACGCGTAATTTCGTATATACTAAATATCAGTCTGAAAATACTAGACTAGTTATTTTTTTTATGATATGGCTTCATTCGCAAAGTTATAATCATGAGTATTATGTGGAGGAAGCGCGAAATTACGTGTTAAATAGCAAAATAACTAAAGGACTTGGGCCTGTCCAGAACTCACATTAATTCATTCTTGGAACGTACGTCGAAGGCAGCCCTAGTAGGTTCTTTTCAAATTTGGTAGAGAGAAGAGCTTGGAGAGTGGAGGTGAGCGTTTAACGCTTAGATTAGATAGGGACCCTTAAACCTACACCTGGGTCGTAAGTCCCAGTTACTTTTGAAGCTCCTCTCAATACAACGATGGACCCGACACACGCACCGTGAATACATGGAATGATGAGAGGTTTCGTCTCATATTGGAGTTGTATAGTTTTAGTTTATTAAAAAAGTGTACGTCCGTCAATTGTTTTATTGTCTATCAAAGAATATTTCCCATGTCAGTTTGTTTTTTTTTTTAACTTAAAATGGCTTAAATGAAAACAATCGTATTTAAACATCAAATAATCTTTTACGGCACTGCGTCACGTATAACATATTTATAATTTGTATGTCGTATTTGCTTAAGTCTTTTGAATGACCCATCGATATAGTTCTCTGCCAGAGATAATCCTGAAAATTGAAACATGTAAATAATAAATAGTTAAATTACTTAAAATTTGAATCTTAATAGTGTCAAGTATTGACAGATAACCATAGACATTTTTTTTGTTTAATTCGTTCCGTTCAGAACAGGGAAAAAGAACAAATCCCATACAGCCATGTGTTTTGTATAACCATAGACTATGATGGAAATTAGTTATGAATTATGATAAAAAAATTGGTTCTACTTAATAGCTAATAAGTATTGTAAAATAGATAATTCATATCTAATGAGATATTTATAGATACAGTTTTGGGAAATGGGAGTCAGCACATGTTCGAGCTGTAGTATCTTGACCACAGCTAGGATAAGCTATTACCTGTATAGGTTGTACAGTGGTTGCTCCTAGGCCACAATCTCCACACATATAGTTGGCTGGCGCGTGGGTAATGCTATCGAAGTCGTAAGGTATCTGCGTCAACCAAGCCTCTTCAGGCGCACGTTCCAAATACTGCTCTTTACCTGATTATTATTTCAATTATTTTAAAGAATTCTTACTAATATTATAAATGCGAAAGTAACTCTGTCTGTCTGTTACGCTTCCACGCCTAAACTACGGAACTGATTTTAATGAAATTTGGTACGGATAGAGTTGATCTTGAGAAAGAACAGGATAATTTTTATCCCAGACTTTTGAAAGGTTCTCTTGGAAACGCGCTATAGTCGAACTCCACGCGGGCGAAGCTGCGGGCGTAAAGCTAGTATAATATAATTGTAACCAACCCTTCTCAACATTCCGCCAATTTATAGTCACGTAATTGTCTCTGTCAAATCTATTTGACATCATGTGTACTCCGAGGATCCTCAATAAATTGTTATATACATGGGCGTCGTGACCGGCCGCGCCATTCACGAAGGAAGATAGTTTTACTGACTATAAATAACAAAATAAAATAAGTATCGAAGGTTAATAAGTATTTTTGATATTATAATATACAGCCAAATTAAGTTTGCGATTCTGACAGATGAGAGTTGTTAATTGACTTGTGATAAATTATTGTATATTTTTTCAAAATTTTTTATTGTATAGAAGAAGTTACAGTATTTGATATATTATATATAGTTATATTATTGTTACATAAACGATATACATATATTTTTATATTATGATTTACAAGATATTTGATTATTGTGACTTTGTTATTTAACGATCAAAATTCAAATACAATAACGTACAATCGGCTTAATCTCTAAAAATATAAAAAATACACAAAGAGTTTGAATTTTATCTACATTTTTGAATCAAAAAATAAATATAAAATAATATTTTTTTATTTAACTATTAACTTTTTATTGGATAACAATATAATTCGTTATCTATATTTTATTACTCTGCTGTAATGTGTCAAATTTAAAGCCATATATATACCTAGTTATAAAAATATTCTTACCTGTTTGTTTTCAACGAAACCTAACATGGGCATTTCGTTACCGTCTTTCGAGAACCAGATTTGACTCTTGGCTTCCAAAACCCCATCAGTTTTGACTTCTTGGAAGACCACACACGTAGATATCTCAATAGAAGTCATAGCGTGCCTAAGAATCTTGTAATCCATTGTATCACCTACATATTAAAGTTTTACTACAATGAGATTCAACTTTCACGAATATTCAATTAAATGAAACTAATACTTTTAAATGTACTACGCGTAATTATCTTCTATATATATAAAAATGGATTGCTGTTCCTTAGTCTCGCTAAAACTCGAGAACGGCTGAACCGATTTGTCTAATTTTAGTCTTGAAATACTCCTGGAAGTCCAGGGAAGGTTTAAAAGGTGAGAAAAATTGGAATAATTGCCGAAAAAACCCTAAAAACAGCCCTTTTCTATTTCCCATACAAACGTTTTTTTAACATTAGATTTGACAACTAACTAATATGTCAATTCTGTTTGATTGAAACAGGAAAAACCTGATTATTTATGGCCTCTTAGACGGAATAGAGTTCGACTGGTCAGCTATACCTACATATATTACTCTTGACCAAACTAACGCGGAGGAAGTCGCGGGCAAAAACTAGTTTATTATTTAGATCACGGTTGCTGTAAAGTTATCGAAATAATGGGAGTATGTAGTCTTTTATCAAAAATAAAATCGCGTAGTACATCCGAAAAATATTAGTTTCGTTTTGCAACATTATAAGAACACATTTGTGCGTTTTTGAGAAGTGGTTATTCAAACTATTTATTATAGAAATTGTCTAACTTGTAGTTTAAGTTGTTATTTAAATTTATATTAAATTGATTATATGTTTAGGAATAAATTGAATATTAGTCGAAACTTTTGCTGTAAACGTGAGAAAAGGAAAATAAACTCGAGCGTAACGCGTTACGTTACGAAGTGGATTTCATATAAGTTATTACTACAAGTAATAATAAAGAATATTAGTATATATATACACATTTTTTATGGGAAAAGTGGGCAACCGAGCACACAGCCTACCTGATGGAGGTAGTACCGTCGCCCATGGACATACGCAATGTAGATTTGTGGATGTGTTGCCGCCCTTAATTGTGGAAAGAGGGGAGGAAAAGGTAGGAAAGGGTGGGAAAAGAGATATAGCAACCGTCTCTCTCACTCATCATACAAAACGCATCCATTAAAGACTACTTCACGCCGATCTTCTGTGAGAGGGTGGTACTTACGGTCGAGACCGACCATGTTCGAGCTGTAGTATAACCACAGCTAGGCTCTACTACCTAATTAAAGTCTATAATTGTTAAAATCTCACCTAATTCATCATCAACCCCATAAAGAACTATACCAAGGGGCCACACTTTGTCTTTGTAGTATTTAACGTTGTCTTGAGTCATTTCCACATCTAAAGAGCCAAGACGTCGTTGAATCAGCAATGGCTTGGATATAGAACCGCACTCGTTTTTAAAATGAGCGTTGATGTAATTTCTGTCACTAGCAGATATTAGCATCGAATTTGAAGAATCCTAAAAAGTATTAAGACTAAAATAATCCTTATTATAAGTTTGAAAACTTAAACAGAGTTTAGTTTATTCATTAATTTTCACACGAAAAGCATGAGCGTTTACGAATTTAATGATAATACAAACTTCTGTTTGAGAAAAAGGTATTACTTATATAGAAAAGAAATATACCCATTCAGAATAATATATTAGAGATATTTTCATCTCTTCTGTCCGTAATCACGGTAGCAAAGTAACCGAAACGTTGGGAGTATGTAGTTAAAATAATAAAATACCCTACCTACCTACTATACGGCAATATTACTTTGGCGTTAAGAATAATTCAAAATTAATGATTTATATGGAGCAATAGCATATTGAAATGTCTTTACTTTTCAATTTTAACTTGATTATCTTAATAATTATATATATTTTTTACTCTTAATCTAAATCCTTATATTACTTACTTGATTATATATTTACCTTTTCATTAAATTTCTTAATCAAATCGAAGCTATTTACAGTCAAACCTAAATAGGATTATTAATTAATAGTTTTTTCACACAATATGAAAGGTAAATCGCTTTACCTGTGTGATTACCTTTACCTTTAGGGTCAATACTTGCTCGTATCATTTCCACCACAGCGGTAGTTATATCGTGTTGGTTTAAACATTTGTAACCAATCGCCATTTCCTATTAAATGTGGGAAAAGCAGAATATAATGTTAATAAGTACTTATTTGGACTAGTTTTTGTCTGCAACTTCGTCTGCGTTAGTTTCAGAATTATAAATTTAAAGCTCACTAGACGAACTCTATTTTCCTTAGAGACAGTAGATAAGGAGATTTTCATTTGATTAACTTTTTTTCTTTTCAATCGAATGAAAAGTACTCTATGTCCTTTTTCTGGTTTTAAGCTATCTTTCCCCAAATTTTCAGCTGAACCCGTTCAGTCGTTCTTGAGTTATAAATAGTGTAACTAACACGACTTTCTTTTACATTAAATGTAAAGATTTAAGCTTATAATTAACTTTATTTAATTAGTTTAAGACACAACAATGGAGAAAAAATTTTATTGGGAGGAAAATATATTTTTTTTATTGAAAGAAGCGTTACGAACGTACTATACTATCGACGGAGATGATCTTGACAACCGAATGTACAGAGACGAGGTTTTATGTTCGATAGACCAGTTAGGTATATAACCCTATATATAAACCACATGGTTTTTATAAAAAAAATGTAGATGGGACTGCTAATTTGAATTTTTTAGCTGTCAAACTAAATATATGTCCAAAAAACCGTTCGGCAGTAAAATGCTACGATTTCTTCACTCAGTTTACACATAAGTAGCTTTTTTCCAAGTAAATCGAGAAAAATATGGTGAAATTAAATCTCTTACGAGGGTCTCACATATTATGGTCTACCGGAGAAGTCCACCTGTGCAGGTAGACCGGAATGTTTTTGGGAATAGACCTGTGCAGTATTTTGAATGCTACTATTGTTTGGTGACCTGCACAGGCATACCTGCGCAGATTACCGCTCCGCTAGACCGTAGCATGTAAGTATTCTTATATGTATTTGGTACTAGCTTTCCGTCCGCAGCTTCGCCCGCGTGGAGTTCGGTTATATCGTATTTCCAAGAGAACCTTTCGAAAGTCTGGGTTTAAAAATTATCCTATGTTCTTTCTCAAGGTCAACTCAATATCTGTACCAAATTTCATTAAAATCAGTTCAGTGGTTTATGCGTGAAAGCGTAACAGACAGAGTTACTATCGCATTTATAATATTAGTAGGGATTAGGTAACTTTTGTTAGACCACAACTTACAACGACAGGTTTATTGAAGTTATAGCGATTTGTTTCACAAGTCTTCCTTTTATCCGGATTACTTATGTACAAAATCTTATCCGTATTTGAAGTGTTGTAGTTCATGGGACTTTGAAAGAATTTAACGCAGAGCTCGTCCATAATGCGAGAAAGAGTAGTCATTATGATATCTTGAGAGTGGAAGTCTATTGAAGGAAAATTATTATAATAAGTTTTGAAGCATGTAGTTTTGCTACATTTTATTCGAGAGGTAGTAGGTTCGAGTCTGTTTTTTGCAATTTTGGTTTAATATATTCTTTTTAAATTTTAGTTAGTAGAGCAGATTTTGTTCATTTCAAATGCTATTATTGAGATAATACTGAGATTTTAATTAAGCGACGATGTTTTCAATATTTTGCATGGATAACGTATTAATTGTAGTAAATACAATAAGTTGAAACTGAAAGTACGAACGTTTAACATCGACTCCATCGAAAAGAACTTTCAACTGATAGAATGAGTTTCAAATTAACGGAAATTTAAGAATTTAATTCTTGTAGTATCCTTACCACAAGTTTTAAATTGTAACACGAAATACCATGTTTTCTATTCAATTACGTTCTTTAATACTATGTGCGTGTACTTATGGACGAAAAACTGTTAATTGTCCTTATGTAGTGTAAAGCAAACTTGTGGTAAGCTTACAGATATTTGTAAAGGAATTTAGATTAAAATTCGTACCATAATCTTTATTATTTATCGCGTAGTGTATAATTCCATTCTTCCATACATTACCCAGCACTATTTTCACACAAAACAAGAAAAATAATGTACGCATGACTGAACGATCGCGATAAAATAACGTTTTAGGTTTATATTCGAATAAAAAAATATGAGATTGATTTTAATCTGTTTTGTAAATTGAAATATTTCATGTTGTATCTTTAAATATTTTAATTTTATTTTATGTTCAGTTATATGTATTTTGTTGTCAAAAGTATCAAAAGAACATAATGTTCTACAATTAACTTGTCTACTGTGTAACCAAATAGATATAGTAATTTTCCACGGAATAGGAAAGAGCTAGAAAATTCTTGGAAGACGATAACTAAAAATTCTCTTTAGATAACAATTTAGGACAAAAATTATTTATGTAGTTTCCAAAACTTTATATGTATTTTAATGAAAATCTCTTCCTTATTGTAGAATCTAGTATAAGGGTCTCATTTCGTGGGTTGTTAGCTTGTCGTAAATCTACCTTAACCTACTTACTATAAAGAATCCAATAGTTATTCTATTCCTTATAAAGTCTATGTTTTACGTAGTTAGTTAACTTCTTTCAATTGCTAATTCCAGACAGTAGGACCCAGCTTTTATAAATGTTATACCTAGTGCTAAGTTTCAATATTTATTCAACAGATTTTAATGGTGTTATCCAAATAATAATAGTTTAATTGGAAGAATTGAACACCATATACATCTTAGGTTTTAGCAAAAAGTTTTATAAACAGTGTTTTATCTTCATCAGCCTAGACTTCGATTGTTAAAATACCAAGTCATTGAAAAGTTAGTGTTAAATTAATATTAAGTTTGCGTTGCTTTCAATATTACTGACACAAAAGCCAGGGTAAAAATCTCAGGTGGTGGTAGAATTAATATTTCCTACGTCCTATGACCAAAAAAAGGGAGGTTTTAGTGGGTAATAATCCCACATACCTTTGAAATGTACTACAGGGGCCATAACTATCTTAATTAATTATTGGGACTGTTAAACAAGTAGTTTAATTCAAGACTTCTGCCACTACCCTTCACATTAGCTTTGATCAAATCAGTTTGTTCATTTACGCCTTACTTACCTTGTACTTCTTCCTTGATGTACATTTTCAACTATTGAAAAAATATGCCTGATTTAATTCTACTTACGATATGTTCGGTTTTCCTAATAATAATAACATTATAATCATATGGAACAGCTGTTTTTAAGGATATTTGAGGTCCATCAAAACCAGTCATTCCACTAATTTTCCATACATTTATATTTAATTTAATTGACAATACAAAACATTAATATGAACACTTCCTCAAGACATAACCCTTATAAACTTTCTCCTTACTCACCATTTTTGCATAAGTTTAGCATCTGTTTAGATACCCAGAAATCTTCGAAAAAATTCTATAATGCATATAATTTTAACCTAAACAAACATACATCATCATTTTCTCATTATTTTAGGATCTCCACAATACGTACTTCCATACCATCCATTAATCTGTACCATTCCCTTGGCTATCGGATTAAATTTTTATGCATTCAAATCCATTACTCACACGATCTATCCACACTATTCTTCTACTCTTATATCCATATACATTAATTATCACCATTTATATGGAAAACCTTTCATTTCTTATAACAATCATACCACATTAACCTACCTATCGCTTTTCAATTCCTCTGCATCATCAAACTGTCTCAAATATAACCAATTCTTGATTTACTCCACTCTTATCATATCAATAAAACCAAAGGCCACATAAAAACTATTATCATTCAACATTTTTGGCGCCCAGAAGTAAGATCCATATTATAAATAGATCTTATGTATATTTGCTGCTAAAAGGATATAAGCCACATCTTTTAAGGTGGCATTTCACTTGGCGTTGAGTATTCGCCGTATTTGTCCAAATACCGCAAACATGACATCCACACTTGGCATCACAACACGTCTATACGCGTTTTCGTTATTTGTGAATGTCTTATTTGTGCAAATATGTCAAATGAAGACGAATAAATCATCCACACATGCTCTTATTTGGCCGAACACAACAAATAAACGACAAGTGAAATGCTTTAGACATAAATTGTAAATACAATCAAACGCATTTAAATACCATCAATTGTTACTAGATGCCGCTACCAGTATTAAATAAGTATTCAAAAAATACTAAGTTTATATATACATACATCTACCTGGCAATTTCCCAGCTTTAGCCAGGGTCTGCCTTACATGTCGTAAATAGTTTTAGCTAATTGTTTTTACGACCGGCCGCCTGCCTGACATCAACCCTCTTTGGGAATGCATTAATCAGTGATGTCTAAATACTCTTATAAAGTACATATGACTCAGGAACATCACATTGGTACTTGCCAGGATCGAACCCGCGCCCTCATGCATGAGAGGCGGACCTTTAAACCACAAGGCCACCATTGAGTTAAGTTTATTATATACATATGTACCAAAAATTTAATATATTATTCAATACAATTGATTTATAAATTTATCTATTTCATTCTGATAGTAATATTTGAATTTATTTGCAGGTAAATAAGCCCATAAAATCGATTTTCATAACAAAAATTATGTTAAAGCAATATTTTTACATTATAATGATTTTGAGTATTATATATTTTACATACACTCAATATATACAATAAGTATCATCAAATCTTGATTGTATAATATATACATCATATAAATAATCAAATTATACATTATATATCACAGTTTTATCACAAGTAGATGTTACTTATATATAATCTTAATATTAAGACAGTCTTCTTGCTTGAGGTACAAAATAAAACACCATATTTTCCACATGTACATACTTATTCTATTGTATACTTATATGTAGAATTAAAATTACTTCACTTATAGGCTGGTCTTCGTCATTTTAGATGTTATTTTTGGGTCAGTTTATATATATGGCAACACTAAAACATATATGTATCCCTAGTAATATTATAAATGCAAAAGTAACTCTGTCTGTCTGTTACGCTTTCACGCCTAAACCAGTGAACTGATTTTAATGAAATTTGGTACAGACATTGAGAAAGAACATAGGATAGTTTTTATCCCAGACTTTTGAAAGGTACTCTTGGAAACGCGATATAACCGAACTCCACGCGGGCGAAGCTGCGGGCGGAAAGCTAGTATATACATATATGTGTCTTAGTGTTGCCTACAATTATGAGTGACAATTACTCCCTTGAACAGTAAAAATGGACATAAGTCAAAATATAGTTTCTTTAACAAACATTAGAGCAATTTGAATGTCATATACAACAATATTATGTATATTTGAACATATGTTTAAATATATATATATTAAAAACTGACCCAAAACATATATATAAAATATATTACATATATGTAAAGTTAAATCTGCACAAACTCTGTGATAAAGATGATATTATAGGACCGTAGCCTTGTGCGTTGTCATACAACTCAAATAGAGGGGCTGCGACTAATTTATAGTTCTTGGGGACGGCAAATAATGCTCTGTCTTGTAATTGCACGAGGAACAATCGTTTGTGTTCTTTTGGTTTAGTTATGTGTGGTGGGATGTAGGGATACTGGGGCGGCTCGAAGTTAGGCCTCCACCAATTACCTGGTAAAAGGAGAAAAGAATTATTTATATATATATTATTAATGTCGAGGAACACACATGAAACTTATATTTCTAGGATTGCTACATGTATTTTATTATTTTTCTCATCTCATCTGTCCGTGATCATGGTTGCTGCAAAGTCATTGAGACTTCGGGCTATGTAGTCTTAAATAATAAAATACGCGTAGTAATCCGAATAACATTGGTTTCATTTAAAAGAATTAAATATGCTATATTTCTTTACATAAAACATGAAAAATTCGCAAACTATAATGTATTTGATTCTGGAATATTTGGTTTCAGTCAGTATCAACTAAGTTATATAATACTTTACAGAAACATGGGCAATAATGAGCGATAACGCCCATTGTGGGCGCTGCAACCCTAAAGGCAGGGTAGGAGACACAGAAAATGTGCATTATATAGAAACCTGGGCGATATATAATCTAATTTAATTAGGATAAGTTATATAATTTTTCAGTGGGTTACAAAATGGAGAGGCTATAAAACAATTTATTCTCAAGGTAGGTAGCAGACAAAATTGAGTAAGCAATGATTTATAGCAAAGATAATTATGGATAGACAAGATTTTTTATTTATGGGATTTGCTGATGTGTTGCAGCCCTCGATTGGGGGAATGGGAGGGAAAGCAAAGGGTGGAAAAAGGGAAAAAGCAACCGGCAAAGATATGTGATATGTCAATATTATTATTTGTCGGTGATAATGATATTAATAAATACCAATAGTATCCTCTATGAGCCATTCTTGTTTCACTCCGTCCTGCCGCCCGAGAGTTTCAGTCAGAAGTCTTTTCAGACCTTCGATCTCATCCTGATAATTATAATACAACATTATTAATTGTTTAAGATAGAGATAGTATTCATTTAATTATTTTGGTAGTACTCATAGGTTTTGCCTGTTAGTATATTCTTTTTGGTCATATTTTAATTTAGCTAGAAAATAAAGAGAATATGATTATTACTTTTAGTATAAGTAACATACTGTATAATAACAATTTGGAGTTTTATGTTTGGTAATTTAACTGTATGAAGATTAAAAGATATTTATTGGATTTAAGTATACTGTATACTTAAGTATACTGAGTGGACAAAGTCATGTTTAATGACACTGTCAAATGTCAAATGACACAGCTAGTATATCAAGAGAGAAGGTTTTATGGTGTAGGTGATCGTTTAACGTTAGATAGGGTCCCTTAAACCTACACCTGGGTCACAAGTCCCAGTCACTGTTGAAGCTCCTCTCACTACAACAATGGACCAGACACACGCACCGTGAATACATGGAATGATGAGAGGTTTCGTCTTGTCTTGTATACCTGGTTTATATCAACTTACCTCTCCAGGATTTAGCTCTCCGCCGGGAAGCTTGAAGAATGCCGTTCCTAATTGAAGAAGTAGCACATGAGGAAGACCGTGTTCATGTACGAGAAGAACACCTTCCACGGACCTGGAGTTATAAATACAAAACATGTTATAGGGTAAAAAGGGTTAAAAGGCCCGCCTCTCGTTGCCGAGGGTGCGGGTTCGATCCTGGCAAGTACTAATGTGAGTTTTCCGAGTTATATGTACTTTATAAGAGTATTTAGACATCACTGATTAATGCATTCCCAGAGAGGGTTGATGTCAAGCAGGCAGCCGGTCGTAAAAAACAATTAGCCAAAACTATTCACAACATGTAAGGCAGACCCTGTCTATAGCTCGGAAATTGCCAGGTAGAAGAAGATGTTATAGGGGTTGGCAGAATATAATAATAATAATAATCATTTATTTCAGACTATATAACATAGATCTATATAGTGTTAGTACATTACAAATTAATAATTAAACTTAATAAATAAATTGGTTAGTAAATTTACAAAAACAAAGCAAAAGCAATTTTATTTATGACACTTTATTATAATATAGAAACCTGTTAATGTTTTAACAAATAATGACTATAGGTTAATTATCGAAGTGACATCCCTGGAATTGGTGTGGTTTAAGACAAATATAACATTTGGTGTATATTGCTTCTAATTTTTAAGGCTGAAATATTATAAATGAATTGTGTATAAGATTTTCCTCTATTTGTTTTATGGAATAGAAACTAATATTATTTTATGAAAATCATTACAACTGTATCATAAAATTAAGATAATCGATGGTACTATAGAAAAGAAATTGGTTAGAGCGTTGAATAATGTCTAAGCTTTAATTAGCTGTTTTTATAATAATATTAGAACATTGAGTAAGATATTTATATAATGAAAATGCCTGTATTAAGTAAAATATGTATGTTTTACACCACGTCAGTGGCAATCCGATTTACCGCCTTTTATTGAGCCGGAAACTCGTTTTTGGTAACTTTATAGTGTACACTTTACTATATTAATGATTTTAAATGATTATAACTGTATCTACGTACCTTCTCATGCCAATTTTCGCGAATTCTTCCCTCATTCTCTGGAACCTAGCTGGTACGGAAGCATCTTTTTCAAACAACGGTTCTTTAGTTCCAAATGTGTAATTTGTTAGCGGGTAAAGATTTATCGTTCTATTTAATGTAACACTCGCGTTTTGACTGTTTTGATGTTGCACACCGGGTCGAGTAGGCCATTGTTTATTGGGAGCGCCTTGTACTGCCGCCATGTTAATAATGCCAAGTTTAAATTAAAACTTTAAGTCAATTATCGAAATTAAAATTGTAATTACTATATGTATGTTATAATTGCTTTAAATAAAACTTAAAACGCTATTCGTATTCAACTTGAACAACGAGAGTTAAGAGTAACCAAACAGCGACAGATAATATAATGACGCCATAGTTATCACTGGTATAGATTATATAAAATATCATATTAAAATTAAATGCTATTGTTAACAATAATATTAAATTAAGGATATTAAATAAGTATCAAAACTATACATTTTTATAGTAACTTTAAAATATAATTTATATTTTGATAAATTTGGACTTAAGATATGAATTGTAGTGTTATTTTATGTCAGGTCCCAATAGATGTCAATAATATTGACAGTTTAGAAAAGTTTGTTTATTTTAATTAAATATTAAAATATAATAGTTAATTATAGAAGAAGAAAATATAATAATTAATTATGTCTCAACAGTTAGAATTGCTAACGGAGTCAACATCACAATGGATTTCAGTATCATATGTAACACCGGAAATACAAATGAAGGAAATCAAACCGTTTGTTGCTTGTAAGTTCGATATTTTCAAAATTACCATTTAATATAATTATTAGGAACTTTTTACTATATAACTCTGAAGTTGACTAACTTAATATGTACCAAATTATATATCCATTATATATCTTACGATTATATGTTATGTATATTCTCCTCTTACTTTGGCTACGATTTAGTTGAAGTAAACCTGCAAAATATTCAATTCTTATATCCATATATAAATAATTATGACATTGATATACAAGAATTTGAATTGCTGAGAATTTCTTTCTTTGATATTTTAAATGAAAACTCATGTAAGTTGTATTAAATTACAATCTGTATTATGCTCATCAGCTAAGAAAATAATGAGTAAAATTCTCGTTTTTTATTTATATATGTGCCATACTAATAACTTAATTAGTACTTCTAAGCATTTGAATTTATATGTTTATATAAAATTATCAGTATAGCATAATCTAACTTGATGCTTTACAAACTTATTTTGTCTCTTTCCCAGTTTGAGAAAAAAATATTTTAAATGCCACCATTTTTCCACCTACTGTAAAACCACTACAACTTATTGTATCTAAATGAAACTACAAATTACCCAGGTTTCTACACAATACCCCTATTTTTTTTAGTGTCTTTTACTGCCCTTTTACTGCATATAGTGCCCATAAAGAGGTGTTATTAACCCATTTTGAGAAACACTGATATAGCTGAAAAATCAGATTAGATTTATATCTATGTTTTACATATTTAATGTCTAGACTATGCCATATATTTCAAGATTTGAAAGAACAAGTCATTTCAGTCTAAAATGACAATATAAGTCACCATTTTTCTTCTAATACATGCAATATCACTGGAATTTGACTTTGAGTAATATTAATCACATATGATACAAAGTGTGGAGTCTATTTTAACTAAGATATTGTTTGTTTTATTATAAATGTATGTAAAACATATATACATGTATATATTTTTGTAACTATATGTAACTCGTTGAGACAAAACCCCATCATTCCATGTATTCACGGTGCGTGTGTCGGGTCCATCGCTGTAGTGAGAGGAGCTTCAACAGTGACTGGGACTTGCGACCCAGGTGTAGGTTTAAGGGACCCCTATCTAACGCGTTAAACGATCACCTCTACCGTACAAGCTTTATCTGACCAAATTTGAAGCAAACAATTGCTTTAGAGTGAAATTTATTTCAAGGAAACTAATATTTTAATATTACTATGCGTTATTTTATTATTTACAAAATTTCATGTCCATGATCACGATTGCTGCAAAGTAAACGAAAAGTCAATAGTGTGTAGTTTTTTAAATCATAAAAAACGCATAGTAATTCAAATATGTAATATTATATTCATTTAAATGAATACTTAAAGTCTTAGAACTCATTATAAAATTATATATATTCCAGTGGCCGTCAAAGAACTTGAAGGTAATCCGGACAGTCGGATATCAAATCTCATGAATGTTAACAAGTTTGCCGCAGTCAGAGCAGTAGTGAGACATGTTTCACGTCTTAGATCAGCTATTAAAGAACCTTGGAACAAAAGTGACTTACAGACATTCCTTGAGAGTTTGAGGTATTAAAATTATTAATTTTTCTATCAAAAATCATGTTAATTATGTAATAATTACTAATATTATGGTTATCTAACTTTTAATCTTGACTTTATCATTATTAACTTTGCATTTAGGCTAAAAGTAAAGTGTGTATATTTAATATATTATGTTCCCCAACAGTCAGCGCCATCTATCGCGTGTCGTTACTTCATACAATACATCTATAATGAAGTGTTCCCGGGAACTACACGGACTGAACGATACATTATAACCTATGTGTTATTATAAAGTATGACATATATTAATGGAAAAGTTTTATCAAATTCAGTTTGATAGTTTTTATACGAAAACCAAAGAAATTTAATACATCCACAAAAACTTTCACATTCATAATTAAGTAGAATAAACACTTTTAGATACGAGAACAATAATGACTCAATAGCACAATTGTTAGAGTGACTTAACACTATATACTTAAGGCTACAAATTCGAATCCTGTTTGATATATATATGTATATTTCTTCCAGATTTTCATCAGACTGTGCTCGTGAACTGTCTTCATTACTGTGTTCCGATGTCATATATGAGAAGATGCCCAAACATCTCACAGTTAAACCCGGCATATTGAGTCTCACATGGAAAATAGATGTTTCTTTAAGGTAACTGGGTAATATACAGGATGACTGGTGAATTACTATCAATATTTAAGGAGAATACTCGGTACATGATTCTCATTCGAATTATGTAAAAAAAATAGGCACTTAATTTTTGACCAAATTTCCGTATAAATAAATAGAGTGTGGACACGTTCGAAGTGTTCCAAGTGTGGACGCGTGCGGTGGCGTACTGTTACAACACCACGCCGCCGCACGCGTTTGTGTGTGTGTGTGTGTGTATACCTAATCTGTAGGGTGTTCATACGATGCTTGATTAATTACATAACTTTTGGTTAACTTTACTCAGAAGTTTATTAATATTTATGTTATATTAATTTTTATTTTGTCATATACGATCGTCAAATATCACGTCCTCAAATATCGATAGTAATTCATCAGTCACCCTGTATATAAATTATATAGGATATATTGTTAAAAAACCTAAGTGAGATAGTAACATGATTTCTTTTTTACTATAATCTAAAATTCTTTAGTATAATTTGACACCTTTATATTACATTCATAATATATATTTGAGTTATGCTTTATAGTCTCTCTGATATTTACAATAAGGGGAAAGATTGTATATATATTGAGACATGCCATCAATGAAATATGATCGTGGTTAAGACAATTAGACTTCAAATATTATTGATTAACATAAATTTATATAGAGGAAATTACAATAATTTATATATACCAAAACTTTGTTAAATAACAATCATATATCTTATATCTTTAAATGAGCAATTCTTGTATATATATAGACTAGCTTTCCGCCCGCAGCTTCGCCGTGTGGAGTTCGGTTATATCGCGTTTCCAAGAGAACCTTTCAAAAGTCTGGGATAAAAACTATCCTATGTTCTTTCTCAAGGTCAACTCTATCTCTGTACCGAATTTAATTAAAATCAGTTCAGTGGTTTAGGCGTGAAAGCGTAGCAGACAGACAGACAGACAGAGTTACTTTCGCATTTATAATATTAAGTAGGGATATATACAGGGTGACTGGTGAATTACTATCGATATTTGAGGACGTGATATTTGACGATCATATATGACAAAATAAAAATTAATATAACATAAATATTAATAAACTTCTAAGTAAAGTTAACCAAAAGTTATGTAATTAATTATGCATCGTGTGAACACCCTACAGATTAGGTATACACTGACACTCACACATACGCATGTCGTGACGTGGTGTTGTATCAACACGTCGCCGCGCGCGTCCACACTTGAACACTTGGAACGTGTCAACACTTTACTTATTTATATGGAAATTTTGTCAAAAATTAAGTGCCTATTTTTTTTACATAATTCGAATGAGAATCATGTACCGAGTATGCTCCTTAAATATTGATAGTAATTCACCAGTCACCCTTTATATGTATATATAATTTGAATCTCGGAATCGGCTTTAACGATTTTTATGCGTTTCGGGGGCGATAAATCGATCTGGCTAGGAATTATTTTCAGAAAAAGTTATTTTATGAAAAATAAAGTAACAAAAAGGAGTCGTTTAAAATATGATTCTTCCTGACATCTATTGGCGATTAGTAATGCTACTTTTTGCTAATTACTTTTACTAACTGCTTTAACGACACAACAGCAGATGGCGTTTTTAAGTAACAGGAAGTCAATGAGTGTTTGTTCTGAAGTTATACAAAGAAATTAATTGTTTATTAATATTGTTTTGTGTCTTAACGTGTTCACTTGAAAATGCCTAAACGAAAATAAAATAAAAAATAAATACCAATAATTCCTAAATACTGAGCATTACATTATTTTTTTCAGTCAATCAAATATTTCTTCAGAGAATGCAGACGGAGATCAAGCGAAGAAAATCATGTTCAGAGATACAAGAGTAATATTGTTGTTTAAATTAACAAACGGACAGACATACACATGTAGACTGAGTGTTAGTAAATTACACGAACTCAGATATGTTGTGGCCAGCGCATTGAAATGTATGATAGTTTTGGAGAAACGGAAATGTATGAGGAATTTATAACATATATATATGTATTCTAGTAGATAATGTACAATTTTGGTGGTATAAAATTATATACTAGCTTTCCGCCCGCGTGGAGTTCGGTTATATCGCGTTTCCAAGAGAACCTTACAAGTCTGGGATAAAAACTATCCTGTTCTTTCTCAAGGTCAACTCTATGTCTGTATCGAATTTCATTAAAATCAGTTCAGTGGTTTAAAAATTTATATAATATATATTTAAGATTCTAACAAAATCGTTAAAAAATATAGTTTTCTTTCAAAGCCAGTACTTATAAATATATCAAACCTTATCTAGAACAAAATAATTATCATCTTAAACCAAAACACCTTCAATAAGTTTAATTCAGTTTACAAACACACAAGTCTCGTATAGAATCTGATAACTTTAAATTTCTGTATGTTATTGTTATAATTGTGTAACTTAACTGATTAAGTGTTAAATATTAATAATAGACTGTTTACTGTTGAAATATCTGTTTTATTCATACCTATATAAGACGGATAGATATTTTTTATTTAGGAAAATTGTTACTTTTGAAATAATATGAATTCACAGTTAATTAGGTATATATGATTAATATAGGAAATAAAAAAATATATAGTAACAGCTATCTCTAATGACATATATAACAATTTTTTCATATACTCTTAATAGACAAAAAACCACTTAAAATATAATTCCAATAGTTTAATAATGTATACGACTTTTGATTTTAATGCTTGAGAGATGAGCTTGTACGGTGGAGGTGAGCGTTTAACGCGTTATATAGGGGATTAAACCTACTCCTGGGTCACAAGTCCCAGTCACTGTTGAAGCTCCTCTCTACAACGATGGACCCGACACACGCACCGTGAATACATTGAATGATGAGAGGTTTCGTCTCTTAGTTTAAATAAATTAACTATCAAAATGAATTATTGATATAATATATTACAAGTTACTATTTATAATTGATAGGTAATGTAAAATTGTTAAAACTTTAAAAAATATCTTCAAAAGGATAGCAAAAGACTTTTATATATAGTCAATTATTAGTATCACTGTTAAAATATCTATTTTCACGTTATTTCTCATAGTGCATACCGAATTTAATCTCAATTAAAAATTGACAATTTCTAAATGTATATAAAGATTTATGTAAATCATTAAAATATATTGATTCCATTATCAATATAATAAATAGATATTCATAAAATAATGTTTTTGTATAACTTAATTTCAAGAAAATAAAGTTTAAATTGTTTAAATTTAAGTGTTTAAATTTCATTAAACTGTGAATTTTTTTCCTTTTTTATATACATGTTTAAATTGAGATATAACTGCTCATTTGTGTTTAAGAATAGTAACCTATAGAAAGAAAATTATACGTATATTTTGGATTATTTATGTAAATAAAAAAACAATAAAATTATATTAAATTTATTTTGTCTTTCAATCCTTTCTGTTACGGTGACAACTGTTGACAGCTTTTTATTTCTGAAAAACAAAAATCCCATTTAAATCGCAATTAATATTATTAATTAAAATTAAGCTTCTTTAAAGCAAAAAATCCAATTTTTAGTAAAATTATATTAGAGTAAGTGTAATGTAAAACATATACTAGTTCTATCTCGCGACTCCGTCCTCGTGTACATCAGAGTGTCACTCAGAGCTATGTATAAAGTGTGTTAAAACAGTACATTTTATTATACTTTAAAATTAAAATAAACAAAACTTGTAAAAGAGATCATGGAAATATTATGAAAAAAATAAGAATTAATTTATAAAAGTTTTTGAAAAAAACTATAGAAATTCTTCTTCACAAAAAAAAGAGTATAAACCGTATCAAAACTAGAAAAGAACGTTGTATTCAAAAATTTTACATCACACCTACACACATGCAAAGCTCAGCTTAAATGAAACACACTATAACCATCATGAGAAAAATCAGAAAAAAACCTGTCTGCTTAGAAAAATTATGGAAATTTGACAAAAATCTAGAAAATAGGTAAAACTTTAATCATATTTAGTTACCTTATGCCTCGCCACCACATGCGCTCTAAGTCCCGCTGCCTGTGTGAAGGTGGCGCCACACTCACACACGTGAGGACGCTCGCCTGTGTGTGTGCGCATGTGGACACGGAGGACGTAGGCGCGCTACACACGGGACGAGGAAAAAAACGTTGTATTATATACATTATATACATATATCCTACTAATATTATAATTGCGAAAGTTTGTGAGTGTGTGTGTATGTTTTTTACTTCTTTACGCTCAAACGGCTGAAATTCTATTTAATTATATTTTAAAAATTCTATTTAATTATATTTTAAATAGATACATGACATAAATGCTATAAAATAAGCAGAACTTGTAAATGGCCAGATGGAAATATAATGAATATTATGTAACAAAAGTTTTTTTCAACATTTGACGTTGCTACCAGTACAAAGAGTGAAGTGCGGAAGGTGCGGGGCAAGTAAAAGCAGAATAAACCGGAAAAAAACTAAAAACTTCAAAACTAGAAAAGAACGTGACATTCAAAAATTTGACATCACACCTACACTATCCGTGTGCACTCACAAATGCAAAGCTAAGCTTAAATCAAACGCATTATAACTGATACTAATGTTCTGGCAACTTATTTCTACCCTACAAAAATCTATATAAATAATAATCTGTATGTTTATATACAGGGTGACTGGTGAATTACTATCGATATTTGAGGACGTGATAATTGACGATCATATATGACAAAATAAAAATTCATATAATATAAATATTAATAAACTTCTAAGTAAAGTTAACCAAAAGTTGTGTAATTAATTACGCATCGTGTGAACACCCTACAGATTAGGTATACACTGACACTCACACATACGCCTGTCGTGACGTGGTGTTGTATCAGCACGCCGCCGCACGCGTCCACACTTGAACACTTGGAACGTGTCAACACTTTATTTATTTATTCGGAAATTTTGTCAAAAATTAAGTACCTATTTTTTTTACATAATTGGAATGAGAATCATGTACCGAGTATTCTCCTTAAATATTGATAGTAATTCACCAGTCACCCTGTATATATACCGTGAAGCTCCTATCACAGACTCCACACTTGACCCTCTCCTGTTCAGTACTATGGCACCTCCTTGTATGCCATCTAAGAGCTTCCACGCTGCTATACTTCCTTGCACAAACTGAGCAACTCTCGCTCTTGGCCGCTCCGTGTGTATTCGTCCTATGAGTGGCGAGCGTTGATTGGGAGATGAACCTCTCTGGGCATTGAGAACACGTGTATCTGTGAATACAAATGCATATATCATCATCAACCTATCAGAGCCCACTGCTGAGCCTCTTCTTGCAGAAGGTTTGAGCATTAATCACCACGCTAGCTCAAGACGGATTCGATTTCAAACTTATAATTTAATATAAGTCCATGTTTCCTCATATTTTCCTTCATCAGTCAGTGGTATCTAAATACTCTTATAAAGTATTAGGTGTACAACTTTGCTTCCGCCGTTTTGCAATAGATGGTTGTAGCGGTAAGTGGTAGTCGAAATAAATAGATCGTAGATGTCATACAATAAGTTTAGGCATTTGTAAACATAACGCCATCGAAATATTAGTCTATTTGTGTCTGCATCATAAAGTTATTCTCGATTAAACATGTCAGCTTACGAGCCAAATTCTCGTCATTTGCGGGAAGTTTTTAATTTTCTGCTTTAATATGAAGAAATCTGCAGCTGAGGCTCATCGAATGCTCTCAAATACCTATGGTGAGGCCGCTAGTAGTGAAAGAACGTGCTGAGAGTGGTTTCAACGCTTCAAGAACGGTGATTTTGACGTCGAAGATCGGCATGGTGGTGGAAGAGAGAAGGTTTTTGAAGATGCAGAATTGGAGGCATTACTTGATCAAGACTCGTGTCAAACGCAACAAGAATTGGCAGGATCATTAGGAGTGAAGCAACAAGCCATTTCAAAACGCTTGAAAGTCATGGGAATGATTCAGAAACAAGGAAATTGGGTGCCGTACGAGTTGAATCCGAGAGATGTTGAACGGCGTTTGTTTGCTTGTGAATAACTGCTTGCAAGGCAAAGACGGAAAGGATTTCTGTATCGCATTGTGACTGGGGACGAAAAATGGGTTCATTACGATAATCCCAAGCGCAGAAAATCATGGGGATATCCCGGCCATGCTTCCACGTCGACGGCCAAACCGAATATTCACGGTTCCGAGATCATGCTCTGTATTTGGTGGGACCAGCTCGGCGTAGTGCATTATGAGTTGTTAAAACCGACTGAAACAATCACAGGCGATAGTTATCGAATGCAATTTATGCGTTTGAGCCGAGCATTGAAAGACAAACGGCCACAATACAACGAGATACATGATAAAGTGATTTTACAGCACGACAATGATCGACCCCATGTTGCGAAAGTGGTCAAGACATACTTGGAAACGTTGAAATGGGAAGTCCTACCCCACCCGCCGTATTCTCCAGACGTTGCTCCCTCGGACTATCACTTGTTTCGATCAATGGCACACGGCCTGGCTGACCAGCACTTGCGGTCTTATGAAGAATTAAAAAATTGGATCGATTCGTGGATCGCTTCAAAAGATGACCAGTTTTTTCAAAGCGGGATTCGTACACTGCCCGAAAAATGGGAGAGGGTAGTGGCCAGCGATGGACAATACTTTGAATCATAAATGTATAACCAGTTTTTTACAATAAAGCCTCGAATTTCGGAAAAAAACGGCGGAAGCAAAGTTGTACACCTATGTACATATGACTCGGAACAATCACATTGGTACTTGCCAGGTTTCGAACCCGTGCCCTCGTGCATGAGATTCGGACCTTTAGCCACTAAGCCATCATGATACTTCTACAATTTCAGTTATTGACGTTAAAAACATGGTATATTACTCGTAAAAAGCAATTAATACGGATTATGCTAACAAATTTCATAGTACCCGTTTTAATATCCAAAATTTCTTCTCAGGTTATTTTATTACAAACCAAAAGTCGATGATCCTGCTATAAACTTAATTATTATCGAAAATCAGTTAGAAATACTGCAAAATATACGCCCTTAAAGCTACTAACACGAATTTTTTCCTGTAACCTTATATATATGAATTCTCAATATATATCCATCATTCGCTCGTGATACATGTTTCGTCCCCTGTCTTCGTTCGTAGCGAGATTAGCACGATTAGGATTTCTCCATTTTGAAAATGTCAAATGTGTTGTTATATTATCATTATCAAAATGAAGTCATCCTAATTGTGGTTGGTCTTCAAACTCCTTGCTTCTGGTGATTGCTTCTGCTGCAGAGAATACTTCTTGAAGTAGTGGATATTTGTAAAAGTAATCGAAGGTTGGAAACATATTTTAAGACATGTTTACATAACGTTTGAAGTATTTCTCTCAAATAAATACACATATAATAGTATTGTCACGGGACATAAAGTTAGGCTTATTCCTCTTCTTCTTCCTGTCAATTTCCCATCTTCAGCCAGGGTCTGTCTTACATGTTGCGAATAGTTTTGGGTAACTGCTTTTACGACCGACCGCCCGCCTGACATCAACCCTCTTTGGGAATGCATTAATCAGTGATGTCTAAATACTCTTATAAAGTACATATGACTCGGAAAAATCACATTCGTACTTGTCAGGTTTCGAACCCGCGCCCTCATGTATGAAAGGCGGGCCTTTTAACCACTAGGACACCACTGACTTAAAAAGTAAGGCTTATTTTAGTACATTATATTATTGTAGAATGTTCTCAACATTTAGCGCCATCTCGTGACGAGTGGACGAAACTATCATCTATAAGTTTTCTAGAACATTCCTATTGTTAACAAGTATTAATATAAACGAGTATGTAGTGTAATGTTGTAGTGACGGTGTCATGTATAAAGTCCCGCTAGGAAGGTTGTGAGTGTACCAAAGAGAGACATGCAAACTATATTACATGTTATTATAATAAAGAGAATATTTATTTCTATTAAACATCTTGTTTATATTGATAATCAAAACCTAGCGAATAACAATATTAACGCTTGTAGGTATGAAAAAACTACTAACTTTGTGTAATTTAATGTTAAAGACGTGTAGTAAGGATAATAAATAAATAATGCGTGATGATACTTAGTTAAAATTAACAACTATGTTAATATATATCTTCCCAAAGAGGGTTGATGTCAGGCAGGCGGCCGGTCGTAAAAGCAATTAGCCAAAACTATTCACAAAATCTAAGGCAGACCCTGGCTAAAGCTGGGAAATTGCCAGGTAGAAGAAGACATATATATACATATTATAATACTCACTTGTACGAAGAAGAATCTCTGTGCCGTTTAGCTCTGTGCAAATGTTGCTTCAAATTATCCTGTGATAAAAAAAAACAGAGTCAAATAAAAATAAAAACTATTTAATATTTCATTTAAATACATAAATTGGACTCAATTTTCAAAATACATGAGTGTTTTAGTAAATTTCTTTGACAATTTCAATGAATATTCATTTAAAACTAGTTTTAGTTTTTGTATTGAAATTTATAGTGTTATAAAAAATTGTATATGTGAACTAAGTGATAGCAACTTGTATATAGTGTTTTAATTATATACACAATAAAATATTTATGATCTAATATATGATTAATTATATGGAATTTAGTAATAAATTATATAATGTATCTCATTCTTATATATAAGCTATGTCATCACCACGCTAGCTCAAAACGGCTACGATTTCAAAGTTATAATTTGATTTCCTCACGATTTTTCCTTCATCAGTCAGTGATGTCTAAATACTCTTATACAGTACATATGACTCGGAACATCACATCGGTACTTGCCAGGATCGAACCCGCGCCCTCATGCATGAGAGGCGGAATTTTAACCACTAGGCCACCACTGACTATATATATGTTGATATAAGCTATATTATTACGAAATCTCATCAAAATCGATTGAGTAGTTTTGGTGTTATAGAGCAACAAACAAACATACTTCCCAACAAATATTTGTAGAGTACATTAAGAAAACATTATAAAAGAGACATCTATTGTCTTACAACCTACAACTCACCATAGATTTAAACATGATGTCACATTCCACGCAATAGTAATCCTTATTCTCGTGGACAGAACGTATATGTTTCGTTAACTGGGCCGCGTACACGAAACTACTGCTACAGATCTCGCATTGATGAAGCTTTTGTTCATCGTGACGCCTGCAAAAAGAATATCCAATAATAATCATATATACATATATATATAAATATTTATTTAAATAAAACTAATATTATCGTATTACTACACGTATTTTATATTTCGCGTTATATAGGGTCCCTTAAACCTGCACCTGGGTCATAAGTCCCAGTCACTGTTGAAGCTGCTCTCACTACAACGATGGACCCGACACACGCACCGTGAATACATGCAATGATGAGAGGTTTCGTATTTTTTAAACTACATACTAGCAACCGAAACGTTGGACGTATATTTGTAGTTAATAATAAAAAACGCGTAGAAATGCGTAAATATTAGTATCATTTATATGCACTTATATACAACTACCGTCATTGTAACTACTAAGCTATAGGTCCTATGTATTTTTCATATAATCTTACTCAACTTATTTTGGTATTGAATTTTACCTTAGATGTTTGAATTGCTTATTAAAATGTAATGGTTTCGTTGAAAAATAATAATAAAATATTCTTCGGAATTACTATTTCTGGTGTAATTATTGTATTTAATATTCTTATGTATATACAATATAGCGTAGTTTCTAGGAATTTACTTACATTATGTGTATCCTGAGAGATTCTTTGCTTTTGTACGTCTTTCCACATAGATCGCACTTGACTGGTTCGCATTTTGAGTGAAGACGCACGTGGCGCTGCATGGCTGTTCGTTTACTGGAAATAAACGTGCATGCATGCATGCATGACTTCATATATATATAGGGAACAAACTTCAGACAAAAAACTACGAATGCTTAGCTGATTTAATGTCAAGAGCAGACGATTTATGCTTTTTATAATTAATAGCATAATAGTGTATTACTTTTTAATTATTAATTTTAATAATCATATTACATCGCATCAAATTTTTGTCTATCTATCGCATGTCACATTACATGCAACTTCTGGGAAGGGGTAATTAGACAGAATCTCGTCATTAGATTTCTTATTGTAACTCATTAGTGAAAATTCGTATTATTGTTAATCAATAAGTATGCTTATATACAGATTTAATTGAAGAAAACTCTTATAAATGAATAAAATTTATAATTATTATCATCTAATTATTGTATTAAGTAAATACTCACTTGGTTGTGTGTTCGCATTGTGGACATTTATATACAGTTGCTGTGTGTGTATGTTCAAGAGAGTAATGCTCCAAAACGTGTTGCCGCGACAGACGGACAATACCACACAATTTACATTTATATCTGAAAAATTAAAAGACTTATTTCAAAAGAAATTATACGCAAAGCTATCTCATTGGCTGATTTGTAAGCTATGAAATGAACCAATAGGATAACGGCATTTTTCTGAAGTTTTGACAAGCGTAATGATTGAAGTGACGTGATTGGTCGATTTTTTTGTAGAAGCTTGACCAACCAATCATATAGTTTTATACCTACCTTGTTGAATGTGACTTTAAATGTCCTCTTAATGATACCTTTGTAGGACAGTATTGAGTGCACAATTCGCATTGGAATGGTCCATTTTTCTAGAAACAGAGCAATATATATATATATATATATATATATATATATATATATATATATATATATATATATATATATGTTACTAGCTTTCCGCCCACAGCTTCGCCCGCGTGGAGTTCGGTTATATCGCGTTTCCAAGAGAACCTTTCAAAAGTCTGGGATAAAAACTAAAAACTTTCTCAAGATCAACTCTATCTCTGTACCAAATTTCATTAAAATCAGTTCAGTGGTTTAGGCATGAAAGCGTAACAGACAGACAGACAGAGTTACTTTCGCATTTATAATATTAGTAGGGATTCTAATTAAATTAAAGAAATATTTTGATCACATGAATTTTGGACCACAATTAAGTAATTATTCTCCAAGGCCCAAAGCACGAACAAAAAATCAAAAAATACTGGGAAATATAACAAAAATCTCACAGAATTGTGTTTCTCCATATGCTTCCGTAAGACATCCTCGAAGTTAAATCCGCGGACACACTTGTCACACTTGTATGGAAGTACTTTGTACTTCTCTGTCAATGACTGTTGCTGCATTTCTTCCAAAATCTGATGAAAAATAATCCAAAATTACGAAAATAACCATTAAGGGCATACAAATATATCAACCCACGTATGTAAGGACGCATTTGCTGGAACAGTTACGATGAAACTTACTGTTTATGAGACGAGAAGGTAAAATAGGGGTAAGTCAAAGTATCTTTCTTTTACAAAACACATCTATAAGTTTAGAGCCGAAGAATAAGAAGAAAAAGTATCTTTAAAGACTTTGGTTGGATAGACTACAATAATTTCAAAGATATATCGCTTCTTCTGCTCCTTTTACGTTACGTACGCGTAACCTGAAGAAATAAATGAACATCGCCGGGGCGACATCGTTGTATGGATAAAATATATAAAGAGTGACGCCGCTGACTCCGCGGAACGAACACCAAGCGTGTGAACCAGAAGATTCCTGATACACACAAGCTATGGAATGGTATTGCTATCATAACATCGGGTCAATCATGAAGTCTTAGGTGTAGGTTATGAGTTTTAATATGTAGTTCTTATTATAATATACATATGAGTAAGTTTCGTCATCAAAAGTTTACCTGTTCTTTAGTCAATTTAATGACCACATATTCGTCAGTCTCAGTCACCATTCGTGATGAAAATCCTTCCTTTACATCTTTCTTAATCTTTTTTCTTTTTGCGATCTTATAATCATCTTTTTCTGACTTAACGTCTGATTGTCCCTAGAATTTTTATCAGATAAAGAACAAAACTTTGACAACTACTCATAAAGTCATAAACATTATAATGAGACCAAGACTTTCACAAATTTCATTTCAATGAAACTAATATTTTCGTATACTAAGCGTTTTTAATTATTTTAACTACATACGACAACGTTTCGGTTACTTTTCAACCGTATCATTAAGACGAGATGTGATTGCACATAATATAACGCGTAGTAATCCGAAAATATTAGTTTCTTTTAAATTACATCATAAAACAAAGTTAGTTATGAATTAGGTTTTTAATATGAAAGTGTTATATTTTATTGAAAAAAGCTTTTAAGTTACTTTCGCATTTATAAAACTAAACATATTGTTTATTAATACACTTGGATTTGGAAATATTATTCTATGGACACGGCATTCACACGATGAATACATGGAATTATGAGTTTTCATTTAATTTTTTCAGACATAATAATTATAGAGAGAGGAGCTTGTATGGTGGAGGTGATCGTTTAACGTTAGATACGGTCCTCTTAAACTTACACCTGGGTCACAAGTCACAGTCACTGTTGAAGCTCCTCTCTCTACAACGATGGACCCGACACACGCACCGTGAATACATTGAATGATGAGAGGATTCATCTCCATGATGATTAATTGTTTATAATAAATATGAAATTACCTCGACATCATCATCTTCACAATCATATTCATTCAGGAATACTAAAGGAATATCGTCTTCTCCTATAAAACTATCCTCGTCTTTAATACCAGGTAAAATATCCTCTGGTCCAAGATAATAATGTTTTGTTTCGGATATCGAGAGTTGTACTACAGATGGTAATACAGGATTCTGTAATTTACAATATTATACTTATTTAAAATAAATTTAGAAGTTCTATGTGCAATATATGTATTTAAAATATTTTTTCTGGTGTACAGAAATATATCTGTTTTTTATTCTATTAGAAATTCCAAATTTTTATAAATAATATTTATATGCGAACTTATTGTCTTGAATAATATGTTTAAATAGCACTTTTGTATAATTGCAATAAGATTTTTAATTTTACAAAATGTGATTAAGTTAATATATTTTTTCAATATTATCAATTTAAGTATAGTTATAGAGCATGTATGTTTTAAGTTTTTCTATAGACATTAAATTATATATACCTTTTTGTGTTCGGTTCGCAATAATTCCTCAGATCTCCTGCATTGTCTTATAAAGTTAGTCAATTTCCTCAATAAACACGCACAATACGTACAAATACACGAACTCAGTGATGTCTGAACCTAAAACATACACGTCACACTTAATACATATAATTTTTTCAACCATTCCATATAAAAAATAGGAAGAAATAAAATCTTGCCTTTGTTGCGAAATAATAATTTTTTACGTCTTCATCGGACATCGGATGAACGCTATCGTCTGTTTTTAAACAAGATTGACATATTTCTAACATGTTTAAAATCTCAAAATGTACAATTTCATTTATAATATGATATAATTCATTTAAAATATGAAACTAAATGTACGGATTGTTGCACAAAGCAATGAGCTTAGGGCTTAACTGTCGTAATGTCAGTGTCAAATGTAGATAATTATTTTGGTGTTACACTAGTAAAGTTCTAAATATAAATGTAATTTTCGTACAAAAAATACCATAAAAATTGAAATATTATTCACAAACAAAAAAAGGTACTTTTTAACTATATAAGTATTATGTTTTGGCACTTAAAAAAACATTTAAAAGAACTAGGGTCATTAAAATGTTGATAGGAAAGGAAATTATTTTAAAATGTTTTGATATACGAACCCTTTCCTATCGTAATAATTGAAAGTAATATTGTAATTCAAATTTTAAAATATTCTCTCCATATAATGTTAATACATTAGTTTTTTTATACCTAGTTATACTTTCTAAAACTAAAAAAAAGACAAATGCTATTGAGTTAAATTTTAAATTTGTTTTTTGTAAAAAAAATATACTTTTCAAACCGTCTTTCTTACAAAATACTTTTAAATGTTACTATTTATTACAAAACAGTTACTGTTTTTATTTTGACTTTTATGTTATTGAAATGAATCTGTTAAAAGAAAAAAACGTCCATTTAAAAATTATAGTGGTTAAAAGATCCGCCTCTCATGCATGAGGGCGCGGGTTCGATTCTGGCAAGTACTATTGTGATTTTTCGGAGTCGTATGTGCTTTCTGAGAGTATTTAGACATCAGTGATTAATTCATTCCCAGAGAGGGTTGATGTCAGGCAGGCGGCCGGTCGTAAAAACATTTACCTAAAACTATTAACAACATGTAAGGCAGACCCTGGCTATAGCTGGGAAATTGCCAGGTAGAAGAAGGTTTAAGAAATATGCTATCATGGAGAGGCTATTATAAATTATTAAAAAAATTATATTCACGTACTATTTTGTAAAAAAAAATGCTTTACTAGTATACCTTTTACAGTGCAATTCAAATTATTTTAGGTATCTAAGAGTTAATTAAAATTCCATAATGCATATTTTAAAATGAGATTAAACATATTAACATCCAATTAAAATCCTTGTTTTGATTTGATGCTTAATAAATCAAACTACATTAAAAATATATGTAATACATAGAAGCATATTTAATAAAAACAAAATAGGTTCTAATTAATTTTTATTTGTTGCGATAATACAAATTTTCATAAGAGATTGGATTTATAATATTAAATGATACAATAAACAATATTTATATAAGAAACATTAAATGGAAGTCGAAATATAATTAAATAGTAAAAAATTATACATTTGTTATTGTAAAACTATAAGGACTTATTCAATTGAACACACAGACTATATAATAAAATATTTTCTTTAATCCAGGAATGACGCTACCAAAAACGGTTCTATAATACACTTTAATACAATATTTATTTATTTTTATACATCTAAAGCGCCATATTATTGCTTCTGCTTACTTTCATTCAATTGTTATGAAAATAAGATTTTAGAGGTCTTATATTATCTATGGCTCTTCAAGCTAATGAGTAAATTTACTTACAAAGTTCTTAATATCTTTAAAACTCAAATAAATCACATATTTTATAAAATTATTAATTAAAATTTTTAAGACGAACAATTTTTATTCTTCGTAACATTAAACAAATGACGTCTGTCAATTTAAATGCCAGAATGATTATGGCGGGAAAAATTCAAGTTTTAAGAGAATAAAATATTTGTTTAAAATTGTTTAAAATGAAATAAAAAAGCTCTATATATGAGATATTGCTATTTAATCAAAGAAATTAATAATAAGATTTATAATACATTTAACCAAATATAGTAATTAATTAGTAATAAGTCTTGACTTCAATATAAACATTTACCTATGTTTCATTATAATAACATAAAAATAATATTAAATTATAAGTAATTCGACTGATAAATCATTATATTATAGTATTATAATAATATTGAAATAATTGATAAATTTTATAGCAAATTCCATATTCTCTACTATGAAGACCGATATTAATAATCAAAAGCATTATGTATTAAGAAAACATGAACAAAGTGTCTTCTTAACAAAGAATCTACATGTATTGGACACATTCTTAGAACAATAGTTATTAATGTAGTAATTTCATCATCATCGGCCTATCAGAGCCCACTGCTGAAAGGCCTCTTCTCACATGGAGAAGCTACATTCTCCAATTACTACTACTAGTGCTTTAGGTTAAATTTATTTACTTATTAGTCAATAGCTTAGATTGTAAATTAATATATATATATATTATGTGGGTTCGGTCTTAACTGTGTCTATAGGACATTTATGACGGGCATAAAAATAAGATCTTTTGAAGGTGGCCTTGCATTTAGTGCATTCGTGTTTAATATTATGTGTATGCCGTTCTTCGTAGTGCAGTTTCAAATCTCTTTTCAGCATCATATGCTTGCAAACCGTGCATTTGATCTTCTTTTTCGATGTGTACGTTGGAAATGAGGCCGTTAGGTCTAAAACTTGGTTTCTTTCAAGCAGTTTAACAGGTTGGTCGCCGTTATATTTTTGCATGATCATCATATTGTCAGCTACCTTCTTGATTTGGACTATAGAATCCGTGTTTGCTACGCTTTCGTACCAAGTCTGGTCGATTTCCATACTTTCTCTATCAACTATTCTCGGTTTTAAATTGAAATGTACGCTCCTTATATGGTATTTCAAGCGATAGTACTCAGAAAATGTTCTATTGCAAGGCTTACAAGTCATTTTATCCAAATTCTGTCTCGATTCACGTTTGATGCTGAAACAATACAATAGTTATCAAAATGACAAATAATGCCGGCATAAAGGTGGCACTTAATTTGGCGTTACGTAATCGCATGCCGTATAATCGCATGGTTAGGTAGAGAGAGGAGCTTGGACAGTGGAGGTGAGCGTATAACGCGCGTTAGTTAAGGGTTCCCTTAAACCTACACTTGGGTCGCAAGTCCCAGGCACTGTTGAAGCTCCTCTCCCTGCAACGCGATGGACCCGGCACCCGCACGGTGAATCCATTGAATGCTAAGAGGTTTCGTCTCTCTGATTTGTGCAAATATGTCAAATGTTTGATTGTTTTGTGAATTATGATATTCTTTCTTCTTTTGTTATCTTTATTTTTTTATAATATCTTTGTAATCAATAAGTATTGTTATTAAGCAGCTAGACAGTAATTTTCAGCAGTACTGTGTACATCTATAACTGGTACACACATAAGATAAGTGTCAGTTTAAAGTGTTTAATGTATGTACTGTTGATGTGCCATTCAAATAAACAAATAAATCATCATAATAAATAAAAAAATCATCCACACATGGTCTTATTTGGCCGAACACAACAAATAAACTCCAAGTGAAGTGCTACCTTAAAACTACGGTCTACTGGAGAGGTCCACCTGTGCTGGTAGACCCTGGCTAAAGCTGGGAAATTGCCAGGAAGAAGAAAAGACATGACTGAACCACATCTTTGACCAACCATAATCATTCACATATGCTAGATAACTTTCTAAGGGAACTTTTTCACATCACCTATTAGTGAACCAGGATATTATATAACAAATAAATCAATTAAATTGTGTCTATCTGTAATATAAAATAAATCTTGGAACTATTGATTGTCATGTGCACGGAGAGCATTTTTTGTTATTTTTTCATTGAGATATCCCACTGATAGTTGTATCAATGCATAAGAATGTCATGTCATCAGCCTATCAGAGCCCACTGCTGAGCAAGGCCTCTTTCTCACATGGAGAAGGTTTGAGCATTAATCACCACACTTACTCAAGACAGGTTGGTGATTTCAAACTTATAATTGTGAAACTATAAGTCCAGGTTTCCTCACGATGTTTTCCTTCACCGTATGCCAGTGATATCTAAATACTCTCAGAAAGTACATATGACTCGGAAAAATCACATTGATACTTGCCAGGTTTTAACCCGCGCCCTCGGCAACGAGAGGCAGGCCCCTTAACCACTAGGCCACCACTGACTATTATATAGAACATAAAAATGTATTGCTCGATAATTACACTATATATGACAAACAATTATATGTATATTTGTGTGTGTAATACCTTTTATCTCCATGTATATGGTATGCATGAGTAACCAAATTCCCACGATTCTTGAACACCAGATTGCACCACTTGCATGTCCTATTTTCAATACAGTTTTCCAAATGTTTCGCCAATTTTATTTTATTCATAAACTTCTTAGAGCAATGGTTGCATAAGAAATATTTGTTAAAACTACTCGTTAAATCCAACTTTTCGTACTTTATATGTACGTTTTTTATGTGAGAGAGGAAGCTTCGTTTGTTTTCGAAGATTATATTGCATACTTTACATGTTCTGTCGTTGATGCAGCTTTTTATGTGAGTTATAAGTTTCGATTTACTTTTAAATTTTCGTAAACAATAATCGCAGATACAATAGCTATTTAAGCTGCTAAGCACTTTCAAACTTTTTTTCTTCGTATCCATCATGTAAGCCATGGTTTTCAATTATACATCCTTTTTATCACGTATTCCAAAAAACAAATCACGGATAAATTCAATTTGTAAATTAGGAATCAATAGATTAGATATTTTATTTATAGTTTAACATTGTTCTCACTTAATTCTTATACATCACAAACACTACTAATATTTTATGTTTACAATCTATAAATTCATTACAATTTTCATGGAATTAAACTTTGTAGTCATTATAAATATACATGGACACCAGCTGTTTGATTCACAGTGTGGTCAGTTTTAGCAATTTATTAGTTTATCTATAAATATTTAAATAATACTTAAAAATAATAAAATTTTTATATACTTGAAACCGATAAATTTATAAAAAAATTATTTTATAATATAAATTTAATATTTATAATTTATTCACAGTATGACCTGGCAACTTTAAAATAGTAATATTTGCATCAACTGATTAAATATTATTTAATCTAGATTATTTTTAATTGCCTTTATTTTATTATGAAAGCTATGATAGTTTTACGAAAGTTCAAGCCATTTAGATTCATCCATTGATACAAGTTAATACATATAAAATGTTAATATCTTAACATTTATCGAAGATAATAATATTTCGATATGGGTAGGAATAAAATGATAGCGAAAAGTTGCCCAAAATGTGAGATGCAGGTATGTCATATTTTTTCGTAAAGAAAAAGGTTTCAAATATGGCCTTCATTAATACGTGTTTTTGACGATTTCATACAGAAAACTTAAATTAAGGTTGTAAAAAATCACAAATACTTTCGACAATTAATAATCTATCTAATTATACGACAAAATAAATTTAAGATACATTATGATATAATAAATTCGATAATGGTGATTGACTAAATACCTGTGCTTCTATTAAGATTTAAATTAAAAAAAAAATAACTTTCGTTTTGTATATTATCGTATATATATTAAGTAATAAAATTGTTAATTCCAGGTGGCTGTAGCCTCAAAGTCGTGTAAATGTGGTCATACATTCTTCTCCGCCAGAAAAGGTGCTGATTCTTTACCAGCTTTAGAAGATATAAAACGTAGGACTGGTCGCGTAAGACGGTCCCAGCCACAGTTCTACGACGCTCAGCACTATCAAAAGCAGAAGAGAAAGGTAAAATCTACATCAATATCATAATTATAACTTCATTATAATCATCTTTATAGAAAGTCGTGTTAGTTACACTATTTATAACTCAAGAACTGTATGGGTTTGGATGAAGATTGGTTGAGAGATAGATTAGAACATAGAAAGGACATAGGATACTTTACATACAATTGAAAAAGAAAATAAGTTGATCAAATATAAAATCTTATCTACTGTCTTTAAGGAGGAATAGAGTTCGCCCGGTCAGATATACATTACTAATTCTGAAACTAAAACAAACAAAGTCAAGGGCAAAAACTAGTTACTTCAATATTAACTATAAAACTAAATCAGTTCAGTAATTTTTATGTCTTCATTAACACTGTAATCATATAATATTTAGTCAATGTCAATATTTTTATTTGTTTGACGAATTATAATGTTGAGTACTGTGTGGAGACATGAAGGAGTTTGTAGAATGGAATAAAGATGTTTAAGTTTTCTTGTTTATAGAGTTTCAATTATATATATTAAATTTGGAGTTTAAATAGAAAATTGTATATTTTGTTGCAGTTATAGTTTTCAATCAAAATACTTTATTTCATAATCATTTTAACTAGCAATAAATATATATCAATATTTATTTTATTTATTTATTATAGCTGAAAAACAAGTTATTGCAATTTTGTTTTTATTTCTTTAAAGGTCAATTTACATTCTTCCTGTATAACTGAGATGAGGTTTTTTATACTTTTATAAAAGTAATTATTACATATTATATATATATGAAGACATTATAATTTTCATTACTATAAAATTTAATTTGGATAAATTATTATTATAATGGTCATTTTGTCTTAAATCTTGAATTATAATACTAGCTGACCCGGAAAACATTGTTTTGCAATATAAATATGGGTGTTAGTGATAAAAAAGTAAATATGTTGGGTGGTATGTATTTTTTAAGGCTACATTATAAAAAAGCTTAAACAAAAAAATTCGTCCAAAAATAAAATAATAGTTAAGGGTGAACAACCCTTATGACTTAGGGTTATGAAAAACAGATGTTGGCTGATTCTCAGACCTACTCAATACACAAAATTTCATCAAAATCCTTCCAGACGGTTCAGAGAAGTCCCTAACACCGCGACACGAGAATTTTATATATAAGATCCCTACTACGAGGGTCAAACTGAAAGTTCTTAGAAAATCAAAAACTGATTACATTAGCCAGTTATTAGTTTTATTATATCGTTTCAAAATATTGCCTACTGCTGAGCTGCCTTGTGAGAAGAGGCAGCTCAGCAGTGGGCTCTGATAGGATGGTGATGATTATTTTAAAGTAAATTTGTTTATCTTGTGTATTGTTGAATAATGTCATTGACCTCTAATTTTTCTTCCAGAGTCCAAAAAAAAGGATTATATCGAAGACATACAGCGATGATGATTATAAAGGGAAAGGAAAGATTGAAAGTGGTGAGAAAATAAACATTATACAGCTTTAAGTATATATAAAATAATATGCGGACGTATTTTTTATCAAATAATTAATAGTTTTTTGAAACTTGAAATAGATTTTCATGTGTACTTTTAATTTCTATATAATTTGTTTGGTTTTAATATTTTTATATTATGTCATATATAAAAAGATAATGAGTTGTATCTAAAAATGTATTCGGAGTAAAACCTTTTTAGAAATGCAGACTGATAATATTAAATGTGTGTGTAGTGGATTTTTTAATTATTACTTATATATTATTACAAGATAACACTACATTGCTACAAAGATTTTCAAGTTGAACCTAAATCATGCCATTCTTACTAATATTACATATAAATGCGAAAGTAACTCTGTCTGTCTGTCTGTTACGCTTTCACGCCTTAACCACTGAACTAATTTTAATGAAATTTGGTATAGACATAGAGTTGACCTTGAGAAATAACATAGGATAGTTTTTATCCCAGACTTTTGAAAGGTTCTCTTGAAAACGCGATATAACCGAACTCCACACGGGCGAAGCTGCGGGCGGAAAGCTAGTATATATTGTATACTATATATTTTATAGGCGACAATATCCATTCCATTGAGTTTTGTGTATCAATAAAAACGTATTTTGTGAAATTTATCCCTCAACAATTACTCTCCCAAACTTTGAGCTCCATTTTCTATTTGGTAATTGATGCACAATGTAGATTTAGATACAAAACTATATCCATACTTAAATTTTGACCTTTCTTAGAACATATATATATAAATATATATTTATATATATATATATATATATATAATATTGTTTTTTTTAACCATTAAAGCCACAGCCAGAGCTCGCAGACGCAGAGCCCTGCGCAGAGCTCAGCGTGAACCGACAACAGATAGAACTAGGGATCCAACACCACAACTCCGACCAGCTCAATTAGCCAGGTGTAAGTTAATACTACTCGAGATCAACAGAAAGATGAGAGCGGTGACCTGGCAACCTCCTGGGGATATGTGATTGGAAAAAAACACTAAATTTGTGCAAATTACCCCCAAAATCACACCTAATTTGATGATAAACAGTAAAAAATTACACCAAATAGTGCAAATTACCCCAAAATCAAGCTAATTTGATGATAAACATGTTATTTAAATGAATATATTGCTCTTAATATGGCCAATTAATAAAAATGACACTGATTTGATGCTAAAACTGTTAATTAAATGAATATATTGCTCTTAATATGGCCAAGTAATGAAAATGACACTGATTTGATGCTAAAATTGTTAATAAAATGAATATTTTAAGTGTCTACCATCATTATATGTGAAATTTGGTTTACTTTTTGCCTGAATATACTAGTGGGATCAAACATTTGTTCAGCTTCGAAAATTTCATAATTTTCATTGATATCTTGTTTCTATACAGAAAAAAACTATTTGTTAATGATAATTTAATAAAATTTTAATAAATACGCATTATAGAGTGAATAATTCGATTAAATTAAAAGTTTAAAAAGAAAACATGTATTTGACACAAACTTTTTCACTGTTAAGATGGCATTTCACTTGGAGTTTATTTGTTGTGTTTGGCCAAATAAGAGCATGTGTGGAGGATTTATTCGTCTTCATTTGATATATTTGCACAAATAACACACATACACAAATAAGCGAAAATGCGTAAAGACGTGTTGTGATGCCAAGTGTGGATGTCGTATTTGAGATATTTGGACTACGTACAAATATTTGGATAAAGCGGCGAATGCGCAATGCCAAGTGAAGTGCTATTTAAATGAGAATTCACATAAATTTAATGAAATAAAGCCATTTTTAAATACAATTATTACTAAATACATTTTTTGTATAGACGTCGTTTTGACAGCCGTCAATATGACTTTTGGTTACCGCTTTTTAATTTCGATAATTTTGATTTAATTCTTAATTCCAATATTTTCTCCATTTAATAAATTTATTGTATATATATTGATATAGTTATGAAGATCTCCTAAATAAAATTTAAGATTAATTTTTAAGTAATTTTCATTGTAATTATTATTTGTAAATAAATGATTTTGACAATATGTTTTGTTTTAATAAATAAAAACTAACTCCCGCCTCTCGTGTATGAGTGCGCGGGTTCGATCCTGGCAAGTACCAATGTGATGTTCCTGAGTCATATGTACTTTATAAGAGTATTTAGACATCACTGATTAATGAAGGAAAACATCGTGAGGAAACATGGACTTATATCAAATTATAAGTTTGAAATCACCAACCCGTCTTGAGCAAGCGTGGCGATTAATGCTCAAATCTCTTCCATGTGAGAAGAGGCAGCTCAGCAGTGGACTCTGATAGACTGATGATGATGATGAACTAACTAAAGTCATTTGGTTGTAAATAGCGTTTTTTCACGACAAAAAAACTTAGTTCTATATGCTTGTCAAAATTAATTTTTACTAATGCATTTTTACATTTAATATGATTTAACTACAAGTCTATGCACGGATAATGTTTTTTTTTGATAATTATATTTACATATAATTGATATTTAATTACTGAACCAATCATTTAAAAGTACTTTTGACAGACTAAACTTAATATTTATCTATAATAATATTATAAAGCTGAGGAGTTTGTTTGTTTGCGCTAATCTCAGGAATTACTGGTTCGAATTGAAAAATTATTTTAGTGTTCAATAGATAATTTATAGAGAAAGGCTTTAAGCTATATAGCAACACGCTGCAACTAATAGGAGTGAAGAAACGATAGAAAATGTTTAAAAAATTGTGAAAATTATACATCTTTGAGGGCTTCCGTCTATTTTATGCAAACAAAGTCGCGGGCACAGCTAGTATAACATAAAAATCTTAATTCTTATGCTACATAGATTCTTCTTAAAATAATACTTGTTTGTCTTAATTCTTCTACTTGGCAATTTCCCAGCTTTAGCCAGAGTGCCTTACATTTTATGAATAGTTTTGGCTAATTGTCTTTACGACAAGCCGCCTGCCTGACATCAATCCTCTTTGGGAATAACTTGTTTGTCTTAATTAATGGATAGAATTATCTAGAATAGTGTAATTCTTTAGAATATAGACTTGGAACAAACAAAACTGACGAAACAGCGGTATTTAAAAGTGACTCCGTAGTAATACCAATATAAGTATGTTTTTATTTATTATGCTATGGCTTTATTTTACTGGAATCGTGGAATATATTGTCACTATTTGTTAGATGAATTATTATCTTGAGTACCTATTGTGTTGAGAAACATGAAGATTTTTTTAAATGCTAAAACTTCATTAACACTGGAATCGTACATATAATATTTTGTCAATGTCAATGTTTTTATTTGTTGGACGAATTATAATGTTGAGTACTATGTGGAGACACGAAGTAGTTCGTCGAATGGAATAAAGTCGTCTATTTAATAATAATTAATATTCAAGTGAAACTTATATAATAATTATTATAAAAAGAGACAGTGAGAGGGAATGCGTGTCGCTCGAACGCATGTGAACAATCAAATGTGATTTGTAAGTAATGTTAAACTTAAACTCAAATAACTTTATTCAATATAGAAGCATTGCACTTTATTATTGATGGTCACTTGAGACACTACCACCGGTAAGAAAAGAAAATACCCTGACCTGAGAAGAACCGGCGAAAGAAACTCAGCGGGTTAATTTATTTTTTAAAGAAGAGTTACTTATAAGAAATATTTTATTAACAAGTAATATTGATTATTGCTGCCATTAGGAAGCGCGAATTAACAGCCAATCATTTGTAAATAAGTTTGCAATAAATCAAAACGCTATGACGCAAACACTATATACGAGTATTTATAGAATGTGGAAATGATTTACATGTTAGAAGAAATATCTAAACGTTAAAATATCGATTTATTTTCAATGGAAGCTTATAATTTGAAATATAACCGCATCTTATGTAAAAAGACACAATTTTTTTCACCACCTTTTTTTTCCTTAGGTATCTTATAAAAAGAAATTATTTTGTAAAGTTTTTTATATGTTACACAAAAATTTATCTGATTTTCAATCCAGAAGTATTAATGAAGCTCGATGGATTATCAAAATAATAGCAAAAATAAACAAATGAACTATAAAAAAGCTTATACTAAAATATAAACGAAAGATTTGCTGACTTTTCTGGTAAATAGGAACATATAAGATTAATTATATAGATAATTTTATCAAACAAAAAAAAAATATTCGTTTACTAAAAAAACAATATTGAATTGGTTTTTTTTCAGATTTTTTTTTCAAAAATAACAAGCACACGCACAAAATTATTCCTATACTTTTTTAGCTGGCCGTATACATGTAATCTCCTATAAAATAAGTAATTCACTTATCTTCTCATAATTATAAATATGTTTTTGTAAACATATCACTACTTATTTGTTATATAAGAACCGTTCAGCTTTATTTCATTATTCATACAGACGTCATGGCGTCTCACAGTGATATATATTTAATTTTATTGCTTGTAAATTCAGCAATATGTACGGAGTAAGTATTTTTAAGAGGGATCTATGTGTTTTGTTTCAATAATACGGAATTAACATTATAATTTCAATGTGCTTGCATAAAATACATTTATATAAATAACAATTATTCTTGTATTCTTTTTATTATATATTCTTAATAAAAATAATATTTAGTATCAAATTTTCTTTATAACGTATACAATGCTAAAAACAATAATAATATCTAAGTATTTCAAATACTTCTTACGTTTTGAAAATTATTAACTTATGTTCTTTTCCTCTCAGTATAAAAAAAATAAACAATTATGTATTTAAACTTATTAAATGTAAAGAAGATTTTTAATTCCTTTATTATATAATGTTATATAACTATTTATATATTAAATTAAACCTTAGAAACAATTTTATCTCAATAGCCTCGAGGGTAAGTTCTTAACAAAATTACAGTGTAACTGTCATGGGTTATCACTTGACATAAGTTCAACGCGACTACAATAATAAATAAATACAAATTAATTGCATTACAATAATGTTATTTTAATATATTATAAGTGAATTCAAATAGTGTTTTAGATAAAGGCAAATAAGTGCATTTTAATATGAAAATAATGTGATCAAATTACTGGTTTATGGTATAACAAATTCCGTTTAGTATAATATAGCTTGCTTTGTTTTATTTATTATTTGTTTTATAACGTCTGAGTCACGATAAAGGTGATTATTTGTTTAAATGTATAGCGCTTAATACGTTTTTGTAATAATATATTTAATAATAAGTTGTGTTAACAATCAACTAACTTCGATTATATTTACGATAGCTTAACGTAAGGATGAAGGAAATTAGAGATTAATTTGAACTTATTTTATTTAAAATTAATCTTAATACAACCTACTCGATGTAAGCTTGTACAATGTATATTGTTAAAATTATGAAATTGTATATATACAATTCTTAAGTACGAATTAACAGTCGTTAATTGAATGATGAGAGGTTTATTTTTGTTGTAAATGTAATTCTTCCAGCACTATGACGAAGTATGATACAATAGTTATTGGACTTGGTGCTGCTGGTACAACCGCAGCTTCTGAACTAGCTAAGGCCGGTAAAAGAGTCTTGGCTTTGGAAGCTCAGGATAGGATCGGTGGAAGAGTTCACACTTCAGAGTTCGGAGATGGGGTCGTTGAACTTGGTGCCGAATGGTATGCATATAATAACACTCTCCAATCATTTATTTCATATTTTAATAGTATATTGAGGGCACGGGTTTGATCCTGGCAAGTAAGTACCAATATGATTTCTCTGAGTCATGTGTACTTTCTAAGAGTATTTAAATTTCACTGACTGATATAGGAAAACATTGTGAGGAAACCTGGGCTTTAATTTCCAATTATAAGTTGAAATAGCCAACCTGTCTTAATGCTCAAGTCTTCTCCATATGAGAAGAGGCCTTTGCTCAGCAGTGGGCTCTGATAGGCTGATGATGATGATAGTATATAATATATATACCAAGATGTATTTTCTTTCCAGGATACATGGTACAGATCCAAGCGTTGTCTATGATTCAGCTATACACAACAATATTACAGTAGTACCTCAAGATATTTATCTCAATGTGTACAAATCTGATGGAACTCCTGGAAACTCACAACTGATAAATGAATTGGTTGATTATGCTCTTGAAATGACATCTAACATAACGGGCCCAGCGATGCCATTAGGTTTATATCTGACAAATAAGTGAGTAATTATTGTTGTGTACAAATTTTGTTACTATTGTGTACAAAAGTGTATTTTTCATATAGTAAAAGATTGATACCGTACTGAAAATTACTGTGATGTGTACAATAGTATATTCATAAAGTAACATTAAATGTTTTCTATGTGAATATTTTTAATTACATATAATTATATAAAGAAAAGTATATAGTCAGTGGTGGCATAGTGGTTAAAAGGCCTGCCTCATGCACGAGGGCGCAGGTTCGATCCTGGGCCGGGCAAGTACCAATGTAATTTTTCCGACTCATATGTACTTTAAGAGTATTTAGACATCACTGATTAATGCATTCCCAAAGAGGTTGATGTCAGGCAGGAGGGTGTAAAAACAATTAGCCAAAACTATTCACAACATTTGCAGACCCTGGCAAAAGCTGGGAAATTGCCAGGTAGAAGAATTATATAAAGAAAAGTCACCATTTCTTTCAGGTTGAACGAGTATATTAAAGAAAAATATCCGGAATTGATACATGATAGTGAATTTATGAATGAGTTTCTATCGATAATGGACCTTATTATTGACAACTTAGAGTCTTCAAACGATTGGTACGATGTTAGTACCTTGACGAATTACAGAGAATTAGGAGGTCATCAGCATATGAGTTGGCATAGGCACGGTTATAAAACATTCTTTGATATACTACTGGTAAGTTAAATATTTTTGACTCAAAGTTCATTTGGGTATATCAGTGTTTTTCAATCTTTTTGATATCAGGTTGAAAAATTTTGACGATCCTTGGGCCATACAGGCAAGGAAATTCCTAAATTAAAAGTCTAAAGACCTTTAAGTTAAAGGCATTATCTGCTATGGTGGACATAAAACAAAAAGGAGAAATAAACTTAAATTATAAGCTAGTTTGATAATTAATATTTCAAAAATAGCACCACGACTTGACACGGTTTTGAAGAATAAGCCAAGGGATGAAGTTTAATATGTATATTTTTATTTTGTTGCTATTTTATTGTATACTAGCTTTCCGCCCGCAGCTTAACCCGCGTGGTGTTCGGTTATATCGCGTTTCCAAGAGAACCTTTTATAAGTCTGGGATAAAAACTATCCTATGTTCTTTCTCAAGGTCAACTCTATGTCTGTACCAAATTTCATTAAAATCAGTTCAGTGGTTTAGGCGTGAAAGCGTAACAGACAGACAGAGTTACTTTCGCATTTATAATATTAGTAGGGATATGGATTTGTTATTAATATCTGTCTATAATATTTAAACATTAGTGATTTTTCTTTACTTTTAACACATTCAATTCTATTATACATATTTAATTTTTTGTATATGTTAGAATTTGTTAAAAAACTTCATTCCTATTCCATCACTCATCAATAATTTCATACACTGATAGGTATATAGCTTAAAATCATTACAAAATACAATCTATTTTATCCAATCATTGCAGAATACCTACAATAATGGCCCAGGCTGGCCCACGTTGGACATCAAGCTGAACAAAGAAGTGAAATTAATAAAGTGGCCGAGAGATTCACCCGGAGACGTTGAGGTGAGCTGTGTTGATGGAAGTGTCTTCACCGCTGATAATGTTATAGTGACCGTCTCACTCGGAGTCTTGAAGGAGAGGTGAGTGGTAATAATATACTATAAGCTATGATAATACACTAAAATTGTTGATTTATAGGTCAATTCATATTAGATTACCTTCAAAATTGGTTATAATCCACAAAAATGACTAATATGCTGTGATAGAATTCTCTGTAACAGTTGTTTTGTAGATAGTCAATTTATATTAAATAATCATAATTATAAGATCAAAATTTGGTTAAAAACCACAAATAAACTGTGATAAAATTATGTGAAAACGTTTCTTTATAGGTAAATGTCAATTCAAATCAAATTACCCTAAATTTTAGCTAATTCTTGTTAAATAGTGAGCTATTTGGATTTCTTTTGTTATTTTTGTTGTCTAAGCTGTATGGATTATTTTATTTAGAGTTATTATTTGATATTCTTTTAAGAGAAACAAAAAATGATAATAACTGATTCACTTTCTCAGTAATAAAGTAAAAAATACATAAATCTGCTTGTCGACACATATGATACTTATACACAAAGAAAGTATATTTAATAAAATATATATGTATTTATAAATTATTATATATGTATATATATTTTGGCACATAATTTTGTTTTTTATATCAGAATTTATATGTTTTATATAGATATAGAATTTATATAATTTTTATATTTCTATTTATATACAGGGTGACTGGTGAATTACTATCAATATTTAAGGAGAATACTCGGTACATGATTCTCATTCGAATTAAGTAAAAAAAATAGGTACAGTAGGACCCCGATTATCCGGACCTCGGTTATCCGAATTCGCGATTATCCGGACTGTCAATCGCGACGAGTTTATTCTAACACTAGCTTTTGCCGCGACTTCGTCCGCGTGGAATAGTGACTTCCCTCAGATTTTTGGTTCTTCCCACATAGTTCCCGTTCGAGTTCCCGTAGAATTTTCAGGATAAAACCTTTGTTTTCTTTTGTTAATAATGAAGTACTCTTAACCAACAACATATTTATTTGTTTATATGAATAAAGATTAATATTTTTATTTTGATACAACTTAAACAAATTATTTCGACCAAATTAGATAACAAAAACGGTTTTTGTGAGTTAATCTTAAAAGATAGACATATACTGTCGCGGACTGTTTTTTAGATCATTAAAAGGGCTATTATTCTTTAACACATATTTTTTGTGTATCTTTAACCGTTTTCACGGCGCACGCAACGGAAGGCTTGAAAGATGAAATAATTTCTCCCGTTTTTTAAACATTTACCACTATATCTTTGCTCCTATTGGTCGTAGCGTGATGTTATATAGCCCACAGCTTTCCTCGATAACTGGACTATCCAACACAAAAAGAATTATTCAATTCGAACCAGTAGTTTCGGAGATTAGCGCTTTCAAACAAACAAACAAACTCTTCAGCTTTATAATATTAGTATACTCGTAGATTATGTACAATTTCTTAATAAACGTTGATTTTCGCTTATATGTATTTGTTGTTTTAAATAAACACCTAACATTACATATGTATGGTACAGACAACATATGTACATATGATATGCAAAAAGCCCGTTTTTCTTCATATATTGGATTATCCGGACTTTCAATTATCCGGATGCCTACCGACAACAATTAGTCCGGATAATCGAGGTCCTACTGTACTTTATTTTTTACCAAATTTCCGTATAAATAAATAAAGTGTGGACACGTTCCAAGTGTTCCAAGCGGCGTGCTGATACAACACCACGCCGCCGCACGCGCGTGTGTGTGTGTGTATACCTAATCTGTAGGGTGTTCAAGCGATGCGATAATTAATTACATAACTTTTGGTTAACTTTACTCAGAAGTTTATTAATATTTATGTTATATTAATTTTTATTTTGTCATATATGATCGTCAAATATCACGTCCTCAAATATCGATAGTAATTCACCAGTCACCCTGTATAAGAACTATAGTTTTATGCCCATATCTAGTAAACTATTTGTAAAATATTAGCTAAGATCATAAATAATGAAAATTTAGGTTTCAGACAATAAATGTCCAACTAAATACCAGTTACCCAAAAAAGTTTTAGATATTAGTTAAAGAAAAATAACTTACAGATATAAAACGTTATTTTTACCACAACTGCCCGACGACAAAGTTACAGCTATACAGAAAATGTCCATGGGAGTTATAGGGAAAATTATATTGTCTTTTCCCCAAAAATGGTGGCCGAAAGACGGGAATTTCCTGTTCTTCTGGTCTAGATCAGACAAATTAATATATGAGAACTGGTTGACCAAAATATTAGGGTTGACGCAGCCCAAGGGTTCGAGTAATACAATAACTTTGTGGACATCCGGCGATACAACTAGACTGGTCAGTGAATGGGGATTGGTTTTAGATGTAAAATATTTGCTTGACCCTAGAATAGGGAAAATGGTATCAATTAGGGCAATCTAAATGGGATAATATTGGGTATAAAACGTTTGATATAACGGCGTATAAATAGGGCTATATGGTATAAGAATGAAATGGTATCATTCATAAAAAATATATAAGGATTGAATAGATAATTTGCATGTTGAAATTAATTCATGCGCTAATTTTACAAACAAAATTAATTAAAAATATAATATCTTGATTATTTAAATAAAGGGAAAAATAATGTGTAACACAGAAAAAAAGACAATTTAATAATTTCATGATCACCACCGAACACAAAAAATAAATAAATTTATACGCTTTTTATGCATGTATGCATTTATAAACTTGCATGTGGATACTTTTGCATGCATCAATACAGGTTAGTCAAGGAGAGCTGACAATGAAAAATAATAAAAAAATCATATAACATAATTTTAGAGTATTAGGGATTTCGTTTCTCAATTAATTCTTAATTTTGTATATATGTATTCTGTTTCATTATTATTTTCTCATTTTATTTATATTTTCTCAGTAAGTTTGCTCTTTTTTTTGCTATGTTTTGGAATTTTTAGACCACAGTTCATATTTCATAATATTTATACATCATAATTTATATAAATGAATGTACATATAAGAAGAATATAAGAAGAAATGTATTTATTTTATATAATAATAGAATATATATACATGATTAGGTAATCAAATATCATTTTGGATTACACAATTCTGTCAACCAAGACACCAGCTTTTTGTATTTTGTTTCTTTCAAATTTAGGTCTCCAAATAAGATTCTACCTACATTATTTCAGTTTTGTAAACAGTTTGCTATATATTGCCTATCACAAAGAAATCTCTTACAGAAAATCGAGTCTATTCGAACCGTCTCTGCCGGCGGAAAAGATTAAAGCCATCGACGTAATTCCTATAGGAGTTATGAACAAAATTATGTTGAAATTCGATAAATTAGACCTACCGAGTGGGAATTTTTACGGTTTTCTTTGGAAGTCTGAAGACAAAGCGAAGATTTCTCGCGAAGATAGATGGATCACGAAGATTTTCGGTGCAAGCACTCCATTGACATGTACTAATGTTTTGACGCTTTGGACGAGTGGAATTCACGGGCTTTTGGTCAGTTATGGCTTGGTTTTGGTTGGCTTATAAAACTATTATTAAGAAACGTATAACAGATATACATAGTCCATTAAAAGGGTCTTATTAAACTGGTGTTACATTAATTTATTGGTGCATTAATCATATAGCAAAATTTTGCATATAATTTGTCCCATATATCGGTTCATTATTGCTGTTTGTCTTTCTCCATATAAAAGCATTTTTTATTAAATACTTTCGGTGTTCCAAATGTAAAAATAAAGACATAATTTTTATTTTAAGTTTGCTGTAAATATATATAAATTGAAGGGCCCATAAAAATACTTTAAGTCATACGCATGCTTTACTTACTACTAAATTTACTAAAAATGTATATACCTATAGATAGGTAAGATCAATCAATCATTATTCTAGGTGGAATCAATGCCAAGTGAAGTCGTCATGAAGAAATCTATGGAACTTATAAGAAGATTCATGAGCAAGGTGTCTCATATACCGGAGCCGAGCGGCATCCTCATGTCCAAGTGGTTCTCAAACCCGTTCACTAGAGGGAGCTACTCGTACGACAACCTCGTGGTTACAGACTACCCTCACGCCCGGACAGTCTTGGAGGCGCCTCTGAGGGACGCCAGCGGAGCCCTAAAAGTCCTATTCGCTGGAGAAGCAACGAATAGCAATCACTTCTCAACCGTCCACGGCGCTAGTGAGACCGGTTTGAGAGAAGCGAAACGTATTTTGCCGAACAGCAAACTATAATGTAATAAAATAAGTCTAATTATATTTTCATATTTTATGTAACCCAATACATATTTCACGCGAATTGTTATATTTTGATAAAATTTATATATTATTTAAGTCTCAATATATACACATGTAACCCGACTGAGAACGGCTCATACATTTTATAAAGCTTTATTATATTAATCAAATGTTTTGATTGTTTTATTTCATACCTCATAAAACTTTTAAAAACTGGCCAAGTGTGAATATGATTTTGTGTAAGAAGGTTCTATAGAATTTTTTTTAATGGACAAAATTATTAAAAACATTATAATTAGAATATTGGTGTAAATAGTAGTGGAGAATTAGAATAGTTTAAGGACTTAAAATAAGTTACTAGCCGTGGTATCGTGGTATTTGCAATAGACGCAGAAGAAAGAATTAACAAATTAAAAATCATTATTGGATTACAAAGAATTGGACACACATGATGTGTTTTTTATGAAGAATATAAATTATAAATGGCATCGCTGATTTTACATAACCTGATTATTGCATACATAAATTTACTTGTTCAAAATAATTGTTTTTCTTGCTTTAGATCTAAGTTACTTTAAGTTGCAGCTTCAGATTTCGTTAGTTAGCCAGGGAAGGTAATTCCTATTCTGAAATACTGCTAGAGTTTTATCAAAATTGGAATCAAGGATTTTGCTGCCTTAAGCCAATTAATATTTTTAGTGTAATATCGATCTTATCACAATTGCGATGATAGAGTTTTAGGTCTAAGCTTAGGTGTTATCTTCTAGGAAAGATGATGAAAATCATAGTAACAAAAATGTTAGGTCAATGGCCATGTTTTTCAATGTTGTCCAAGGATAGCAAAATAAGATTATAACGTGAAGAACAACTCAAAGCATTAAAGTTGTTGAGTGGGTGAAATAGAAAAAGTTTGAAAGTAAGTATTTGCCTTATAATTAAACAGAGAATACCTACGTTAATTAAGTCACCCACTACGATTGTATTTTTATAAGGTGTGTATTGATCTTTTAATTTTTTAAATTAAGAGACGTAGTAATTTATAAGATTGGTTCTGTAAAGAATAAACGAATTTAGTGATAAAATAAGTATAGTGAAGAGATGTTTCGATGGCAGACATTTATAATATAAAGGAAATATGAGAAGAAGATAAATTGCTACTCGATCTCCGACCTATAGAATATGTTACTTCCGTATTAAATGATAGTCAGGTACAATGTAGGCCAGGGCAGAGAGTGAACATTTTATATAACTATGATTCAGAAATTAGGATGCACTAATTAATTATTTAAATATTATGACAGCATGTCTTTTTAATAATCATTTTTCTAATTTTGACTGTATAGAACTTTAGTGACATTCCAACCATGGAAGGTGGAAATGAAGTGGTAGTTTGTGATCGAACTATCCCATTATTGGCTTATTCACCCTTTTCTTGAAAACACCCAAATTATAGCTCAAAGACGCGGGCTAACTGTTCTAATATCTCGCTGTACTCTTGAGGAAGGAGGAAGGGTATCGCATAATGCACATGCGAGGAAGATCTACAACGAATTGATGGTGCCCCACAGTGCATCTGGTTGTCCGATAGGATGGGAAAGGGCATGCGGGAATATCCGGGAAATGGGCAGTCATTATGGGCATTAGAGCACAACATTTTTTTAGTATAATCTGAAAAAAATAATAGAAAAATTTAAAAAAGATTGCTTTCGAAACTGAAATTACATTTTGCTATATAGTTTGATGCAGAATGCGAGAGAAAAAAGACATTATATTGGACAATACCTAGTGTGGATTATGAAAATAAATAACCAACTAATACAGATTCCTACTAATATTATGTCTGTCTGTCTGTTACGCTTTCACGCCTAAACCACTGAACTGATTTTAATGAAATTTGGTATAGAGATAAAGTTGACCTTGAGAAAGAACATAGGTTAGTTTTTATCCCAGACTTTTGAAAGGTTCTCTTCGAAACGCGATATAACCGAACTCCACGTTGGCGAAGCTGCGGGCGGAAAGCTAGTATTAAATAAGAAGTTATGTGCGAGGTACAGTTTCAGTTTTGTTTTTCAATCTTCATCGTTACTTCCAGTAATGTCTTACAAAATGGCTGAAGACAGTATTTATATATCAAATACAAGTTGATACTTAAATGTCGCCATAAAATTACAATGGTCTAGTATTATTATTAATTATAATTAGTCATAATAATAATTGTAAGGATTATAGTATATTATAATTACGGCACAGATGGCGCCACTTTTAACAGTAACATAACAAATTTTATTAATAAAAATAGCATCTACATACAACTTAGTCTCCATGAAATCTCAATGTCAAATTGTACAAAAAATTCCAGCTTACCATTCGTGTATACGTTACCGGAATACTTTAAACTTTCTGTATTTAGTTAGGACTTGTAGCAAGAACTTTTAAACAATACCATTACCAAAAGGGTCATCGTACAATCACACACAGGCGATTTAACACAATCTGAAAGTACCTACCACGATTTAAAGTACCTGGGACCCCAATAAACTAAGATTAACCCTTCAATATGCAGTTACACTGTCCGGGGTCGATGCGACCCTCGAATATAAGGAATTAGGATGAACAGGTTAATGGTGTAATATCAAGATTACAATTTAACAAGTTGAAATATTTGAGTTAAAAACATTACCATATATTAAAATACTACGAGTACATACGATGAGATTAAGATTTTCCTGAGTATTATTCATTTAAATGAAACTAATATATTTCGGATATACTACCCGTGCTTTATTTTTGAAAAAAACCACATACTCCCGACGTTTCGGTTACTTTTCAGCAACCACGATCACGGACAGATGAGATGTGAACATTTGTTTACAAGTAACATTTATTACAAAAATAACGTCGTGTAGTGTACCCGAAAAATATTAGTTTAATTTTTTATTTGTATTTGATTTCGGAAATGTCGATGGCCGTGACCAACGTGCTAATGAAGGAAGGCCGAGGGTTAATAATGACGATCTAGACTCAAGAGGAACACATATTAGATATTTTTCGACAGGACCCTACGCAAAGCACGCGCTCGGTGGGACATCAACTCGGTGTCAATCATACGCGTGTATGGAAAGTTTTAAAGGAAAATGGCCAGCACCCGTACCATTATCGTCGAGTACAGTTATTAATTCCTACCGACTTCGAACCTAGGATGGCATTCTGCACATGGATTTTAAACGAAAACGATGAAGACAGTGAATTCTCGAGCCGTATACTTTTTAGGTAACTAAGTGTTATTTTAAATTGATTTGTAACATAGTGAAACGTATCGATATTTGAAAAAAAGTGGTATCAGTGAATCGTTAGTGATTAATCAATCAAAATAATGTGAATGTACGTTCGAGTTCGTCACTAGTAGCGCAGCAGGTGTGATGACGTCATTGAGTGTCATCGTGTTATACCAGGGCTTACAAACATTTTGTTACTCTACATATAATAATCGTTTAATATTTAATTTTATTATTTTTATTGAAGAGTTTGTAAATGTAAGTTGTTTGATTGGGTTCCATTTTCAATACTGATAACGCAGTTAAGGGGGTTGACACAATTTTTCATACACACTGTATAATTTATACGTATTTGTTAATTGTTTTGTGTTTTTTATCACAAGTACTTGTTACGCGACGGTGTTAAAGAGGTAGTTAATAAAATAAGAGAGGTACGGTGTGATCGCCGGTCGCTCTTATAACTTCTAAGAAAAATTCTACAAAGGTCTGACTCAGCAGTTCCGTGTGAACAGACTATAGTTTTATATTTCTTTTTAGTATATTGTGTCACTATTTATTCGCCTTTCATACAACTTAGTATACCAATTAATTGTAATTAAATTTTGGTATCATTCCATCCACCGATCGATATCATAATTTACTTAAGAATAGTAGTAAAATATATTTTTTTATATTGTCATGGGCTGAGCTGCCTCTTCTCACATGGAGAAGGTTTGAGCATTAATCACCACGCTCGCTCAAGACGGGTTGGTGATTTCAAACTTATAATTTGATTATAAGTCCATGTTTCCTCACGATGTTTTCCTTCATCTGTTAATGATGTTTAAATACGCTTAATTTTTTTTTATATATTAATATATACTCCCAAATACATACGATATTTTCAGTTGCAATTATAGAAAAAGTTACTAAAACCGTAATTTTCCTCTCATTGTTTAGTCAACACGACATTTCAAAGTATACTTACAGTTAGGTATTATTTTTTTGAAATCAATCCTAGAAGTTTTTTATTCTATAACTAGAAGACCTGGCGACCTTCGTATCGCCCTATAATCAAGAAATATCTATTACGTTTTTTTATTTATATTTTTGGAGTTTACCTGAACCTCCACGAACATTTCAAGACTAAGATAAGATAAATCCGTTCAGCTGTTCTCGAGTTTTAGCGAGACTAAGGAACAGCAATCCATTTTTCTATATATAGAAGATTCCTATAATTCTATTCGGCCATCTTGGTCTAGCTATTCCAATGTGTGAAGGCGTTCCTAGGAAACACCCTATGTTTGAACCACTCCTTCTAATATATCTATATTACATTTTCTATAAAGATGAATAATTTTATCTTGTGGTACAGTATAAAAGTTTTATTTTAATACAAATTTATTTATATGTCTTTTACGTAATATTTTTAATCTAATATATTATTATATACCAAGTCATATGTACTTTATAAGAGTATTTAGACATCACTAATTGATGAAAGAAAACATCGTGAGGAAACATGGACTTATAATCAAATTATAAGTTTGAAATCACCAACCCGTCTTGAGCGAGTGTAGTGATAAAGATGAAGGTTAGGCCCCCTTAAACCTACACCTGGGTCACAAGTCCCAGTCACTGTTGAAGCTCCTCTCACTACAACGATGGACCCGACACACGCACCGTGAATACATGGAATGATGAGAGGTTTTCGCCGCCTTGTAACTCGAGAAAACTTAATCT